TACGACGAACAATCTCTATTTCATGTACCATGTCAGGGGTAAGAAATTGACTGCAAACCAGAAGCCCTTCAATCAACAAGTACAAATTAAGTACTAGAGGAGATTCTTTAGCAGCATCAAGATATTGCTGGGTACTCAGTCCCCGAAATCTCTTATATGAGCAGAAGATATTGGGAATTTCTGTTGTATTTTGGGGAAGTACAGGTGCAGATAAAACGGTCCTTGATGACGAAGAGGAACTCAAGCTCGTAATTTTCTTAAACTCCTTCACTGACTTCTTGTACAACTTATTCACAAATAATGCATCACAATCAGATGAATGCGTGGCATTATCTAAAACATCAAAAAGTTCTTCAAAAGAAGCTTCATCATCAGAAATACACTTACAAAGATCAACATTCTGTAGGAGGTAACGAGAAGCTTCATCAAATATCTTTCCCTTACTCTCCAGATTCTTCTTCATTATCTTCAACAAGATAACAGGATTACTCCTTGTTATCTGCAGCATTAAATCTAGTTGACTAGTTTCTAGATCAGAGTAATTCCTCATGTAGGGCTCAACAAATATATCAGCTCTGTTCTCTATACTACAAATCTTCTCTAGGACCAGGTCTAGAAACTTGTTACATTTCATGACCCTGCTACAAAACCTGGCCTCCTCAAACAAGAACAACAAAGTCTGGTAATCTGAGGAGGGACTCACCCCACCCACCAGGCTGGTAAAGTAGTCCCCACACCTCCCTGCTAACCACTCTACTTTGAACACGTGACACAGCTTGTTAACATCTCTGAACAAGTGTTTCTCCAGCAGGATCTCCCCGCTGTACAGGGCCCCCAGAAACCTCTTCACCGCCTCCCCCGCAAAGTCCTCCATCTGTAGCTCTGTCTGGTGCAGTTCCAGGAACAGGTGAACAAACACTGAACTGTGGTAAGACAGGATCAGGGAGTTTGCTCTCTTTTCCTCTCCTTCTTGTAACTTTAGGACCACGTTACAGTGAAACTCACAGTGTAGGTTCTCTATTCCAAAATCTAACGGTACTGTCACTTTTGGGGCCATTTCACGATCTAGTGAATTGTTAATGTTAGTATTTGTATCTGTAAGATATCTATAACAAGTCAATTTATACAAATATCTTTTATAACATAATAATAAAATGATTCCAGATGTATACCAAATAAATGTTCGTAAAATTCCTTACTCTAGTTCGTTGCATCAATTGCATAACAAATCTTAATCAGATGAGGTTTCAAAACTTTTAAACATTCAATGTGAAATAATACTAATTTATTATAGAATCGTTTCATTAAATAAGCAAATAAGTTCACATGGATTTCTAATAAAACAAAATGAGTAAAATTTAAAGGATAAAACAATTTTGAAGACTAAAATTCAGAATTGACATTTGAGAATATTACTAAGCTTTTAAAGCCGTTTTGTGGTGTTTTGTTACACAAGTTTTAATATCTAACTAATTTGAAGGCAATTTTTTCGCAAACAGCTTTTAAAAATAATTCTGCGGCCTCTATGTATCGTCATCTCGCACAACTCTTTAAGAATCTTGTGAATTTGGCATGTGAAAATTTGCAGCCTTCCAGACATTGATTGGGTCAACGAGGTGTCGCACGTCACCTCAAGATCGGGTGACAGGGGGCTGACCAGGCCAGAACCCAATTGATTGGGTCTGAGGTCACGTGATTATGAGCCTGAGGTGACGTGACTATGACGTCACCAGACCTTGTTCCCCAGTGCAGTGGCATAACTTTAAAAAGTGACTAGGAATCCAGCCTGGAAAGAAAAAACGGCTTTAATTCATTTTTAAAACGGCTATAATAAATTTTTCGGCCGCTCCGCGGATTACGATTTCATTTCACCTTGCTAGTTATATTACAGAAGCATTTTTAGTTATTCATTAGTTATTCATAATTGCCAAAAAGTATGGGAAAAAATTGCCTCATCCGGGCCTCGAACTCGCAATCTACTGATATGGAGCTGGCGCATTAACCACTTAGGCCACGATTTCATGTACTATATTATAATATTTATATATAGGTATTTGCGCGTTACTGCAACTTAAAGGTAGTAGTCGACTACCATACTACTAGTATTAGATTCTTACAGATTCCTAGGAATTCCTGGGAATCAAGGAATATTTGCCGCGCGTTTTATTGCCCGTTTTTTGTCCTAGGAATCAACAAGAATCTAGCTAGATCTCATACATAATATGTAATGCGCTCGATTCAAACTTCTTAAGAAATAAGAACCCCTGAGAGCGACTGATTTTATTTGAATTTAAATATTAACTAATTAACAAATATCAGTCGGTAGCTGTGGAAATATTATGGCTAGGAATTAGATTCTTAAATTCCTCACTTTATGCCACTGGGCCTTGTTCTCCGTTTCCCGCTCATTGGACCAGGTGAGCTTGCATGCTTGTGAATGTGGGTGTAAGTACAGCTGTACTGTAGTTTATACCTAATTACCCCCTATACCTATTACCCCCTATTATAGAAACCGAAAATTTATTTTCTGGCAGAAAGCTAGAAATTTACCAAAGTATCGACATTGTTATAAACTTATTTTGATGACCATCCCTGACCTAAAATTGCACGAGAAATCGATTAAACTTGGTTTCAGAACTCATCAATGCTTCCTTATTCCTTAAAATCCATGTTTTATCGATACAATCAACATTATGATCCTGTTGATTAATTAGTAACAGGTAACAAATACTCAGAAACAACCATCACACCTACATTGCATTCTTAACGGGTCGATTTCGAGTGACCAATAATCGTCGTAATGATACGTCATGTGTTCCTGATCGTAATCAGCAATCAAGAGACAGGAGCGGCGGTTGCTTTAAATCAATGGTTTACGTTATTTTTGTAAATTCGACCCCTGTTGAAACGGTTATCACACTTTGTAACTGCATATGTATTGAGGATAGCTTTATAAATAAGAGGATCAGTAAATAAAATTGCCACAAGTGTTTCTCTCACTCACTTTCGATAAGACACATTGGAAATTCTTACTTCCATAAGATTCGAATTTTTTTAAACGCCGAAGAATATCGGAATTTTATCAAATTTAATCACACTTATCAACTTTTGAACGGTTAATCGAACACAATAATTTTCAAGCTTGTCAACGACAAGCTTGCTCGCCCTAAAATTTAAACAAGCAATTATCACCTCATCAGCCTCCTGAACATGTGCTCGCCCTAAAATGTAAACAAACAATTATCACCTCCTCAGCCTCCTGAACATGTGCTCACTATTAATGTAAACAAACAATTATCACCTCCCCGCCAGTATCCACATCTATTGTTTGAATTTATAAAGATTACTGTGGCTTAAATGTAAGAGTTCTAAAGCTGCCTACTAGAGGTTGTATAACAATGTGAAAATTGTTCATGTTACACATTAAATCTTAATAGCTATTCTACAGAACTGTTTTGTGTGTATTGCTACATATAAATTGGTTTAAATATAATACAAAGTAAGATATAACACTGCATGGTTAATATTTGAATGGTTAACATGAGCAATATTGGAATGGTTAATATTAGGCAATATTAGAATGGTTGACATGGTTAACATGGGCAATATTGGAATGGTTAATATTGGGCAATATTGTAATGGTTGACATGGTTAACATGGTTAATATTAACTAACTTGGTAACTTGGTAAGGTTTATCCTCGTAGCAGGAAGGGTCATCAGATGTCTGACCACCGTGATGGCGTGTAGTCTACCAAGGAATTCGACCAGCTGCACGTATAACCGGAAACCGGAGGGTTATCCGGTATCAAAGCAAGAAACTTCGACAAACTGACTTTGAAGCTGGCAAACGTTTTCTCGGCTTTCACTTCACTCGGCACCTTATTCCACAGTTTGGATCCTTTTACTGCGAACGAGCTATCGTACAGTTTCTGGTTTCTCATCGAACTCGACTTTGATAGAGAAGGAACAACTGCTTTAGTGCCATATCTGGATGTTTCCACAAACTCGATGCTACAGCTATTTGGAACAACGTTATGGTACGTTTTCCACGTCATCAAGATGATGTATCTCTCCCTTCTCCGTTGCAGGGACATTAACTTCAAATGAGCTAGCCTCTCCCAGTATTTTAAGCTGTATAGACCACCAATGCGGCTTGTAAAGGTACGCTGGACCCCCTCCAAAAGCTGAATCTCTGTCGTCTTGACTGGGTCCCACAGCGGACAACAGTACTCCAATAAGCTTCTGACTAGAGACTTGTAGAGGGTCATCATAACCACTTGGAATGGTTAATATTGGAATGGTTAACATCGTTAATATTGGAATGTTTAACATGGTTAATATTGGAATGATTGCAATGTACAAGCTGCTCATTTGTATTAACTTCTCTGCAATCTCACACAACTCTCTCTCTCTCTCTCTCTCTCTCTCTCTCTCTCTCTCTCTCTCTCTCTCTCTCTCTCTCTCTCTCTCTCTCTCTCTCTCTCTCTCTCTCTCTCTCTCTCTCTCTCTCTCTCTCTCTCTCTCTCTCTCTCTCTCTCTCTCTCTCTCTCTCTCTCTCTCTCTCTCTCTCTCTCTCTCTCTCTCTCTCTCTCTCTCTCTCTCTCTCTCTCTCTCTCTCTCTCTCTCTCTCTCTCTCTCTCTCTCTCTCTCTCTCTCTCTCTCTCTCTTGCTGGTCTCACAATAAAATAAGAATCTGTTAAACAACTTACAGTGCTAAAATAGGAAAAATCTCTGATATCAATGTGGTTTTATTGCTTTATTCTGCTGGAGTGAAGGCGGCTATGTGATTGGTTGAATATTCCGTGTAATAATCAGATTGAACTTCAATACATCCAATGTAATGCACACATTACTATCACACATTGTTTTCTTTATAAACATTTTATATCACATTATAGATACCATGGATCAGGAACCAGGGTTGCCATACCCCAGAGGCAGGCAGAGCAACCCGTGGTCCAGCTCCTCTTGAAAAAGTTTAAATAACACATTATTTCAGATTCTGACGTGCCCTGACGAAACTAAAAGTTTGTTAACAGTACAAGAACTGTACGGGTTAGATGCCAGCATTGAGTGTGAACCTCCTAATGTTGATCTCTACAGGTAATTACGCTAATTAATTGGATAATTAGTCTTTACATCTGACATATCATTTTGTTTATAATAACTTTGAAAAAATGGTGAGCAATTTAAAGAAAAATTCTCCTTTTTGCTATCATTTTATCCTTTTAGGTACCGTTTTCTGTTATCCATCTGGTCTTCAGATTTTAGATTTTTAAGAGGCTATCCCCACATACATACGCATTACGCAATATCTAGAACCATCATGATTATCATGATCGATTTTGCTGATTAAATATTCCCCGTTTATTACTAAAAACCCAATCCAATGACTCGCAGTAATCATTTCTATTCATTTATAATCTCTTAGTATTGATACATACATCAATCAGAACGTATATTTAATGTATTATGTATCCTTGTCATTGAATATGTTGTATAAGGGCTGGTTGTTGACCCACTCTTATAATCTCCAATATCAAGCTGTAATATCAAGCTATTTTGTGTAAGCTGCGTGTTTATGTAATTATTTACTAAGCTTCTTAGTTCTTTAGTCTATGTAACTGACTACTCCCTCATGGAAACGTTTTTCTGCCATTTCTGTTCTGTACTAGACTTGGTTGTCAAAGGTACTCAGCACCACATTATTCGTCATTAGTAACTAAAATGTATTTCAGATTCCAGGGGAGGATTATATTCGCGACTGACACAAATCTCGACAACATCTCCGCAATGAAGTGAGTTTAATCAATACACCAATTACTTTGATTCATATGCCATGTGCCGTGAGCAATGTACGGATAGTGCAAGTAATTACTGTTATTATGTACCAAGCCTGTACAAGTTTGGCAGGGAGTGTGTGCGATGTCATGCGATGCTTTTCCTCCTACATTAATGATTGGTCCCCTGGCAATAAGGCCATATTTGTGTGCGCAAATTAGACTTATTTCGACAGAGCATGTACGTTGCACGCGCGCGAACTCCTAACCGATATTTCATGTAGTAGCACACAACCTTGAACAACAAAACCTAGCAATAGCTTGCGCGCGCGTGTACGGTGTTGTTTTTAACAGCATCGTTTTGAACAGGAAGAAGCAGTGGCGAAACGACTGCCCCCCCCCCCCCCCCTCTATTGTCCACATAATTTTTTAAAACGACCATTTAAAAATGAGTCATTGTATTAAAATCTAATTTCGATGGAAAAGTTTGTACTTTTTTAGGCCTTCTTAAAAGGCCCCAAACAAAGATTAAGCTATTTAGCTGAGAACTAAAGTAAACTGTGTTCGAAATTAGTCATGGCTACTTTGTATCGTCCATATATTATAGAATAACAACATAATTTCTTTATCCAAATATTATCTAATTTCCATAAATGTTTGTATAATCTTAGTTTCAAACATCTGACTAAAGTTGCTGACTAAAAGTCCATGATAAGATCATATCACTGTCTTCAGTTTTTGAGTAATATTACCACATAACACCTAGTTGAGTTTCTGTCCGACACAAAACCTGCACAGGCCACAGCCCCATTGAAAGACAACTATGATCACAAAACACTCAAGATTCTCCAGAGTTATTGAATTTAGTTTCTAACTCCCCCAGTGTCCCGTTACCCTGCTTCTCGTATTTACTGGTGATATCAGCTTTTAGTAGCAGGTACAAAATAACACCTCCAATCACTATCCAAGCTAGGGTCACTGAGATGATTAGTTTTGTCTTCACTCCACATTTCATTTCTTCCAGAGTTTTCCAGAGTCTTCTATAGTCTTCCCGAGTCTTGAGAGGCTTATAGAGTCTAATACTCGTGATAAAGAGATGGTCCGGTTTAGAGAAGTCTAGCTCCTCGAACAACATACTGGCTGAAACATAATCGTAGCATCTCAAAACACACAAGCTACAAACACTTGCAGAATGTACTAAATTGGGTGTTCCTTCACTCTTACTTCTAATAAGTCAATTAGTTGCGTAATTCTCACTTCGTGACTACCTCAATTCGCTTGGATGAGAATTTGGCAAAGTTATTTCCTGACTGATAAATTGTTTGTCCGCAAAATGTAGCCAAGCGCATGGTAGTCGTCACATTTAGATGTGTAAGATACTAATTGCTAATACTCTTAATTAAAACGGGCACCATATTTTGGTGATCAACCAGTTCGCTGGTTCCTAAGTAGTTCATGTGGAGGAGATAAGTCGTCACTGGGACGAGATAAGGTCGTCACTGGGACGAGATAAGGTCGTCATGGCGACGAGATAAGGTCGTCAAGGGGACGATATAAGATCGTCTCCTCTCTTGAGGGCGAAACAGTAGACTGTTCTGCAGCAGATTTTCACCTCTTTTGTCTCGTTACATTTCTTCTGCAACTTTAAACAGCCTGTAAAAAGTGTGCAGTTTAAATGGACGCTTTAGCAAACAGTTATTTGGGGGAAAAACACTGGTTTGTCTGAATTTTGGACATCAAAGTCTTAAATATTTAAAGTTTTAAAGTCGATCAAATTTCTTATTTGGAACTTATTAAATTAGATTTTCGCTTTTAGTAATCTGACATCTACCACCGACTCTAATTAATAAATCAATATAATATTTCAAAATATGTCCTAATATTTGTCCTTGTTCTAAAAACGTTTCTATTGTTAGGTCTTATATTATCTCAAATGCAAGGAAATGTTTTTTAAGAACGATATAGGTATGAATGAACCTAATGTCAGATTTAATCACCTCGATTTCTAACCCTTGCACCCTAAAAGTGGTGCAGTATTTCTGGAACGGGTACCCAAGCGGCGCAGCCGCTCTACCCCTTACGGTGGATATCCTTGTCAAATTGAGGATGGATAAAATTCTATTAATATGTGGTTTTATGAAGCAATCAAAACTCAGTAGTTCAAATGGCAAATTCTTAAACGACTTACGGTTAGGATGGTTATAGTCGTAGGTCATTACTTCGTTGAGGAATAATCTTGAGCACTCTAAGGAATCAAATGTTCTCTTTAAACATTTACTTTCCATGAACTGGTAGGGAACATTTACACATTCTTTACTGTCCGTGTTTGTGGGTTCCTCCGTCACACTTGCCGTTTCCTCATCACTCTTTTCTTGATCTATAATCTTCTCTTTGTCCTCGTCTCCCTCCTGCATCTCGTCCTCTGGTGATGTGTCAGTTGCTTCAATAACATCTGCTTCGTTTTTCTTCTCCTTGTCATTCTTCTCGTCACTCTTCTTCTCATTTTCCTCCTTATTCTCCTTATTCTGCGTCTCATTTTCCTCCTTATTCTCCTCCTCATTCTCCTCCTTATTCTGCGTCTCATTTTCCTTCTCATTATCCTCCTCATTCGGCGTCTCATTCTCTTCCTTATTCTCCTCCCCATTCTCCTTCTCATTCTCCTCGTCACTCTTCTCCTCATTTTCCTCCTTATTCTCCTCCTCATTCTCCTCCTTATTGTCCTCCTCATTCTCCTTCTCATTCTCCTCCTCATTCTCCTCATTCTGCTTCTCATTCTCATTCTCCTCCTCATTCTCATTATCCTTCTCATTCTCATCATTCGTAATCTTCTCATCATTCTCATTATCCTTATTATTCTCCTTCTCATTCTCCTCCTCATTCTGCGTCTTATTCTCCTCCTCATTCTGCGTCTTATTCTCATGCTCCTTCTCATTCTGTGTCTCATTCTCATCTTTCTTATTCTTATCATTCTCCTTCTCATTCTTCTCCTTATCCTCCTCCCTATTCTCCTCCTCATTCTTTCCCTCATTCTTATCCTTATTCTCCTTCTCCTTATTCTCCTTCTCCTCATTCTCTTTCTTATTCTCCCCATTATTTTTCTTCCATTCTCCCTTACTTTTTTTCTTTGTCGGATCTTTCTTCTTTTTTCCATTGCCGCCACTGTTACTTTCAGACGCTTCTCCCTTTTTATCCTCTTCTACAACACCAGACTTTTCATCAGTATTTGGTTTATCCGTAGCGTCATTTTCAGCATCGTTTTCCTCATCACCTACTGACTGTTCATTCTCATTCTGTATCTCATCTTGAACGACATTCTCCTTCTTATTCTCCTCCTCATTCCGCGTATGATTCTCCTCCTTATTCTCCTCATCACTCTTCTCCTCATTTTCCCCCTTATTCTCCTCTTTATTCTCCTCCTCATTCCGCGTCTGATTCTCCTCCTTATTCTCCTCATCACTCTTCTCCTCATTTTCCTCCTCATCCTCCCCTTCATTCTCCTCCTTATTGTCCTTCTCCTCATTCTCTTTCTTATTCTCCCCACCATTCTCCCCCTCATTCTCCTCCTCATTCTCCATATCACCATGCCTCTGATCCTCCTCCATATTCCCAATGGAAGGACTCTGTGTTACAGCACTCCACCTCCCTACCTCAACAGTTACCGCATCCCTAGACTCAACCTTTTCCTCTGCATAAAACACTGTAACAGCAACAGCCAATGCTACAATCAGAAAGATAACGAGTATCACCACTGCGATCACCTTTTGAGTCTTCCTTGATCGTGATCTGTTCACCCCAATCTTCAAAGGTTTCTTCTCGCTGATGGGCGATCCCTCGGAAAAATCAAACATGTTTGATTGTCAAAACAAAACGACGATAGGTATCAGCACCTGAGGGTGAACGGTAAAAGACAAGCGGTTGGTGAGAGTTAGGGTATAAACCACAGAAAAATTGCAATAAACCGTGGAATGAAGTCCTACTGGTTCATGGTAGGGAAAAAGTTAACAGTTATTATTAGATAATTTCTGTTTTGGGTAACTCTTAATTATAGCTTAAGTAATTTGCTGCAGCTTCGTGGGAAACAAAACTTATTGATTTCAGCTGTAGACAAGTTTGGGCGCCAGTTAAACTGGGGATAATAGCAATGAGGCAATACGGTGCAACTAATCATAGTTTTGATATATATTATTAAAGCAATTATGTCTATTTATACTAGGTTCCACCAATTTAAATACGGCAAACTAGTTTAATTTAATCTAAATACGGCAAACTAGTTTAATTGACAAATAATAGACAGATTATGTTTGCTTTCCGTGCGCAACAGAAATTAAAAACACGTACTCAACAATTAAAATTTCAAGAAATAAATCGGTAAACTTCACTGCGTAACTAATTAAAGCAGGTCCGTTAAATATCATATTTACTTAAATTATCTGCTGTCGACTGTAAATCAATGAGAATCAATGAGAAGTGCAGAATGATCAATGTGAATCAACCGCAATATTACACTTACAGGAAATTGCAGTTCAATTCAATTGCATTTATTACCATGTGAATAAAAATCGAGACATTTCTCTCGGCTACATGATGAAGAATTAAATTCACCAATGGACATAATTCACCAAATTCTTCATATTATATGATCTTAATCTGATTTGAATAAATATCCTTGCTGACTGCTGAGACCGTCTGCATACTTTGAGAAATACCAGAAAACAAAATACAGGGAACATTTCATTTCAGTTCAATTCGTGTTATTCAAAGGGCTTCTGTGACAGCAACATTTTCAAACTGAGTCACATTCAAATGTATCTCTGTTCAATAGAAAGTCTGACTATAAGTCTTGGCGGTCCTCTCTAACTCTAAACATCGTTCTTCTGTAAACACCTGTAAACAAGAACACTATTAATTATTTTCTAGTGTGCTTAGTGGCACGGCCCCGTTCCACTACCCCTATGTTACACTAATCAGTCAAATAATCAAATTAGTCAACCACATATAATACAACCGTCAACCATGATATAATATACAAATATTATGGGACATTCTATCTGCTTTCATTTTACAATCATTATTAAAATAATATTCAATCGGGTCTAACCGGTGTAAAGCTAGCTTCTGAACAACAACTTGTCAGTCTCACTATTTCCTCTCCCTCATCTGTTTTTAGTGAAGGCTGAGAAAACAACTCTGGCATCTCAATTTTAACATTATCGATATTTAAATCCTGAAAAAATTGTATCTATATTTCATTGACTGACGAAACAAACTGACTCCGAAAAGAATCAAATCTCTATATTTTCGTTATAATATATTCATGGGGAATGTTGTAAAAGCTATAATTTCAGAAGCTTAAAGTTAAATCATTGAAATTCTACTGATTATACAAACCCTGATTAATGCGTCAAGATCCATGGCCTCTGAGCTTGTATCAGAAACTGCTTTGTCACTGTTTTGTCGAAAAAGTCGAGAGAATCTCGTCGAGATAAACTTCTTGATCCTTTGTTTAATGGACAGTCGTGAAACTGCCGATGTGCGGTCCTTCATTGCTTGTTTTATTTTAATTCTGCGGAAATTTATCGTCTTAGTGTAGTCTAAACATCGCGATCGCTTTTTAATAATCTGACTTTGTTATCGTATAAACAGTAAAGCGAGCATAAACTTATATAATTATATTTATACGGCTTTTCTTTAAGTCATTGATTAACTGAATATGCTGCAATCATAACCAAAGTTTAAAGCTGATAATATTTAAATATACAACCTTTTTTAGGTCATTGGGATCATCTAACTTACTTCTACGAGGAGCGACGCTGAAAAATACCAAGTTCGTTTACGGTAAGACACCCAATGTTGTTGTTTTATTTATCTCAATGTCGGTATGTAAAGTTTAAATATAATATCAATATTTTGTATACGAACGCGGAAGCAAAGGTAGAAATCACAGTGATAAAACTCAAATTCACGATTGGACGACGGAAAATATATAATTGCGTTAAGGATTTAAAATTTGTGCATGTGACATACGTCGCTCCTTTATAAATGTTAAATGTTGAGAGTTGTTGATGAATAGTTGAACTATTCTTAGACATTTGAGGTAAAGAAGAACGATTCATCCACTACTGATACACCGCGCAGCTTCAATGTTATATTATCATTAAGACTCCGCATTTTGGACCACCGTCAAATATTTGCTCTCTCTGTGTTCATAATTGTCCGCTATGTCTCAAAACTTCTCGTTGCATGAAGCAACGAGAAGCAACGAGAATCCCTGATGGAATTCTATTCGATTATTTATTTATACTGTTATCACAAGACATTTCTCCGTCAATCGAAAGAGATTTTTAAACTGATATTGACTGGGGAGGTGATTTGTTTTGACCTGTGAGTCTCAACAAAGATTTGTGAACTTTTTCTAGTCGTTGCTAGATGCTGAGTAGTTATCATAATTGTCATATATCTAAAGTTGGTTTTATTGATAATGAGCCTATAGAGTAATAGTTGACATAAGAATTACAAAATATATAAACGCAGAGATTGGACTAAAAGTACTTTATGTCAATTAGATACATTTATCTGAATAGAAAAATATGTCTACGTAAAGTAATTACCATTATATTATCGTATTTATAAAATCTTCCTCAATTATCGGCGATCAGGCTGAACCCACATCATAATAATATCTTGTCAACGAAATAATAGTTAAACTAGTAATACTGTAAAAAAATCTATGTTTTAAACTAAGATTTCAAACTAATTACAACACTACAAATCTATTACATTTATTGAGGACGTTACAGAAGGAATTGATTTAATGTAGTTGGAGGAGTCCTAACTCTCCTCACGTCCGAAAATGGCGTTTCTTTTGTATCAAATATGTAAGTAATTGTAATGTTAATCTTGAACAAACCATATAAAAACAATCACTGCAACGTCATTAAATAACCAGCAAAAACATCAGACCTATCCATTATTTACGGAGTTCTTAAGCGAATAAACTCTACTGAAACTGCTGAAGCCCATCGCAACCATAATAAAGTCATATTATTATTATTAACAATAATTATAATAAAGTCCTATTGTCCGGGACATCATGTTTAGGGTAACATAAAGATAAGTCAAGCTTTAAGCTTCAGCCTCTGGAACTGGTTCCGGAATATTTGTCCCATTCTCGAGGACCACCCCTTCAGATCTGCTGTTTGAATCCTTCCTGGACCTCCTAGTTCGTTTCGCATCTTTGCTGAAGCTGTCCCATACGGATCTTCTTGCGTTCATCTCGTACGCAGCTCCACCGTGTTCCTTTATGTCAAGACCCATCTTCTCGGTCTCTTCAGATACTCGTAGCAGCTTCATCAGCTGTAATAGTAGAGGGTTGAGTGATCAGAATATGATTCAACTGATAAGCTTAATACTTTAAATTTATTCTTCTCGATTAGATAAACACCAGATCAAGCTAGACAAAGTTCACTTACGCTTAGAAGTCCGAAGATGATGAAAGCGAAAAGGCCGACCCATGCAGAAACAGCGAGGATGAACACCAAGTTCGCTCCCAACTGCTTTCCTCCGTTTCCATTGCACTGAAATATGTAAAATAACAAACTAATTTCTTTACATTGACGTAGATTAATGAAATTTGTAACACAGATAACCCGATAACCCTTAATGTACAGATATTTGAAGGAGCAATCAGCTGTATTTATGAAGGATAAATCAGCTGTATTTGTGAAGGAGCAATCAGCTCAATATCTTGTAGATTACTCACCTTGTAGAAGAGCCCACAACTCCCAGTACCATAGGCCATCTTCACATTATCCGGCTCCGCAAACAATCCAGCTGCAATGGTGCCCCACATTCCGCAGAAGAAGTGGACAGGGGAAGCGTCCACTACGTCATCTATACGCAGGAACACTAATAGCTGAGGAATTTTGGGGTGAAGGATCATGGGCCAAACACGCCGCCTTGCATAATATTGAATCACGCTATTTATTTTAATGATATTTTGGAGTAAGGTTTGGAGGGTCATAAACCCATTATTATAGTGAATCATTTTCTCTTTTACATTTTTTCGCACGAACATTGATGATGTTTAGGAACAAGAACTTCGAGTGCGATCACTATTATATGTACGATCGCGTGATATTTAGCTGTCATTGAATAGCTTTAAATATTTCCAACAAGTTGCCGGGATGCTAGATAGTGTGGCAGTCTAGACTTAAAACAAAGTAAATTACTATCTTTAACACAATGTATCTTGTTTTCTATCTCTGTATATTATTTAGTAGATATTATCTACCTGAGAATATCTAGATAGTATCTACCTGAGAATATCTAGATATTATCTACCTGAGAATATCTAGATATTATCTACCTGAGAAGAGGAGAAGTAGATTATTCCACCGATGATACCAACAACAAAAGCCAACTCTACGTCCACCACTGAACATCCAGCTGTAATGCTGACCAATCCCGCCAAAATACCTGAAGATTATGATTAATGAATAATGAAAATACCTGGAAATAATTTGTAAAAAATGAATCGAACATAATGATTAGTCAAATTAATGATCAAGTCTGTTGCAAGGACTACACAGCGTACTGTTGATGTTACTTAATTCATGAAGAATATGCTCTTGGATGTGATATAAATATTATGGAAATTAATGCTGACAAGAGACTTACCGTTGTTTGTTCTGCCAATGTTGATGTGTCCCTCGAAAATAACACCCATTATGGTGGATGTGACACCTGAAATGCAAAAAGATTCAAATAAAAAATAAATAAACAAATTTCAGTGAAGCTGGCTTACTGACTCAAGGCGGCTTTAACGTCCGAACTCCGAGTAAATACTAATACAATGAAAAATGTAAAATATATTCACGTCTAATTCGAGTAGATAAAGAATGTTAACCTGCGCTGGCGGCTGAAATTGTAGTTGTAACAGCAACTTTACCAGCTACATCTGATGCAGCACCAGCTATGGTTATTGTACTGCCACAGTTGAACCCGTACCTGGGGAGGGGATGGTGTTAGATAAAATGATCTCGGAGATGAAGCGCAATAACCTGACTGCAATTTTTTTCCCTGCTCTTGCCGAAGGCAAAAAGATCGTAGGGAATAAGTAATCGGGTTTGGATATATGAGGTGGCCCGACGGTCCTACGGTGATGACAAAAGTCTGCTCCTTCGCAATATAGACCACTCCCCTATAATTATGTGTATAAAAGGAGTCTATTTTGCGCGCGCGACGCCAGTTATGTGTTAATTAATTACAGCCATAGCAACAAAATTTTGGTGCTTGACGACTGTTACACAGGTTTCCATCGGGTTACAATTCACTCTAATTCATTAATATAGCATATTAGTCATCTGAGCGGATCAATCATCAACATAAGTTGTTATTTTGGTGAAACAAGCTTAATATATTACCGAGTGATAATATTCAGTCAAAACAAATTAAATTATGATATCAGCTGATAAACTCGTGGCTGATTATTTAACAGTTGATTGACACAATTAATGGTAAAAAGCGAAAACATATAGTTGAGAAAATATGTTATTTTACATTTACATTCAAGAAGCAACTAAGATCAAGATTGTGGTATGCTTTTAAAGAATCCTATATCAAATCAAAGGCTCGATAATCGATGGTGCTGTAGATGTGTCGAGTATTCGAGTAAGCATCAAAATGTATTAGTTTATGTTAGATAATAACTAAGATGATACAGACTATTTTATAACAGTCATTAAAGTTGGCATACGATGCAATAATATGACGTGACATGATTGATGATACGCATCGTTAACACGTAACAGAATTGCGCAAAATATGAAATGATCTACAACCAAACCACATACAGATCGACGGCGACACCTCAGATGCGGGCAGAATTTTTCAAGTTCTGCACGCCTAATATAATATAAACGATTATCACGTGCGCAAAACACCACTCTGGGATAACAATAAAGTAGAACAATTACATTGTAGGCAGTAGGGAAATTTGATCGTGCGTGGTGTTACCGCGGCGAAATTCTTGTTGATACTAGGTTCTAGAAAAGAAGAGGTTGAAGTTTCAAAGGCTATTGATATTTAATCCCTATTAAATCTGATATTATGCAGTTGTAGTTAATGAAGATAATGAACCCCTCCAGCCCAATAAACTCACCATCCGAACCACAAGATCAGAGTCCCGAGAGTCTGGAAAGTAGAACTCTGAAACACCATAACCTGCACCTCGCCCCCTCTATATTTCCCGGTACGGGGCCCCAGGAATATGGCCCCAATAAGGGCCGTCAGTCCTCCCACCATGTGGACAACAGTACTGCCAGCAAAGTCTATAACTCCAACCCCGAATAGCCTATCTTCCGGTTTAATGAAGGCGGAGGCCCATCCATCTGTAATGAAATGAACTTAAAAACAGAACTAGAATTTCTCATAAATTTTTAGGTTATAATCACAAATTGCAAGTAAATTATTAACAAAATAATGATATTAATAAAATGTTAGACTCACTTCCGGACCAACCCCAATGAACGACCACAGGATACACGAATATTGTGAGCATGAAAGAGTAGATAAAGTAGGCAATGACCTGACATCTTTCAGCTACTGCGCCTGAAAAATGCGAAATTTATATTTTCAAGGTTCATTCGTGAGATTTAAGGAAATGCCTTAAAAACAAGTTTTGACTGCATACTATATTTAATTGTATTAAGGATGTTCCACCCCAAATTTTCAATATCTATCTTTTCTTTACAATATCATAAGACTGTTCAAAAATTGTAACACTGTTGATAAGGGCTGGAGTTATTTATCAATTAATTAATTAATTGATTAGCTAACCTGAAACTATAGTGGCAGCTGTGGCAGCAAATGCCCACTGGAAGAAAAAGAAAGCGTAATTATTTCCCTGATACAACCTGTCCGGAGTTTCTTCTTGCGGTATATCCAGAGTCTTCAGTGCGAACCCATCCGCACCTGGGGAAATTATTGTTTTTGTTACACGTGACAGTGATTCTGGGATTTCATTGGTCAAGGCTGGAACGTGATTGGTTGATGGCTGTCACATTTCAAGAAAAGTGTGTTTCACCTCTCAGAATCAACATTTATTAAAATTATTTGACCTAATTTGAACCTCTAAATCATTTACAGTTCGAAAACTGGAGGTCATCGTATTTTCAATTTGAAAAATAACATCCCTTAACGACCGAACAAGTAATATGCTTTCTCGCCAAATCATTTAACACAAAATACGTTATCTCACCTATAAAGGAGTTGTTTTCTCCAAAAGCGAAAGCATAACCGATAAGCCAGAAAGAAAGAGCTCCAATACAAGCGTCTAGCATATTCTTTATTAGAATGTTCTTTGTGTTCTTTATTCTGACACTTCCCACTTCCACCAGAGCGAATCCAGCCTGGGGGGCAAGTTTTGTTTGAAGATTGGAGGCGTAAATACAGTACCATTTTAAATATGGTACTTTTTTACTGAAACTCAAGAAATTGAATTACAAATTGGTTTGCCAATTAAAAATAATCAGATTATTGATCAGAATCAGATTATTGCTCAGGCCTCAGATGCTTAAAAATACGGATACCCTCTCCTTCCTCACCTGCATGAGGAACACTAGTCCAGCACAGATGATAAGCCAGAACACGTCCATAGAGTAAGCAGTGCTAGCAGTTTCCGCTGAGCTCTTAATGAACTCCACCAGCTCATCCCGGTTCTTGAAGATGATGCTCCCACCTTCCTCAAACGTTAAACTCATCCTAGCTGTCTTGACTACCTTGGGGGACATTTGATGTCGTTATTGCAGTTTATATTGTATCTAGTGACGCAGGTCAGCTAATGGTGGAGTGGGAAGTGGAAGTAGGTGAAAGCTGCAGCTTGCTGCTGATTCTATGTCTTACAGTGGGTTAGAGAACGTAATGAAAAAGATCATTCCACAATTCGATAAACGATGTAAGAACAAAGAAAAGGGTTCTATAAAACAATCTCAACTGATATAGACTTTTAGTTGAGGCTCAGATATGTTTGCTCGTAGTAAATCACAATAAATTCGTGGCGTTAAAACTTCAACGACTGATAATGGTTGCTTCATGATAGTTCCCACTTTTTCGTGCAACCTAATAGACCCAGACACCTAGCTTATTAGCTAATTGGAAGGAAATAATATTTAATTTCGAGTCTGTTATCGACTAATCATTTAGTATAGGCAGCGATGTTACAGCTGACCTGCATTCCACACTCCACAGTCTACTCTACGTTAGCATGCACTAGTGAATTGACTTGTATATACTGCCTCAGTTATAAAATTAACAACAAATTGGGGAGGCCGACAAAGGGGGGCCCTCGATTATCAGGGGTCAGATCATATCACCAATTAGTTATTAGTGACGTTAAAGAGTATGTGCAAGCTATTAAAGAGCAGCAGGTCATTACTGACTTTCATATCGACAGGTTGAGTGTTGGTAAGACACCCGCTAAGAGGCGAAGGACTTGCCGGGGTCCGGACTCTACGGCGTGAGAATCTATGGCGTAAGACTCCAACCCTAACCCTAACCCTAACCCTAACCCTAACCCTAACCCTAACCCTAACCCTAATCCTAACCCTAACCCTAACCCGCCGTAGAGTCTACACCTCAGATCAATAAAATATGATAAAGTATATAACAAAACGTAAGTAAAAGTCTAATAGAATATAAATCTCACTTAGTAATATTACAGTCTACATTAGGAAGTAAAGTTGGGACGTTCTGCACGTATGCAAGATAAGTAAGAGAAATGCAAGATAAGTAAGAGAAATTGTTGTATCATTGATTATTGATGATTGATTAATGTAATTGAGGTAATTAATCGTTTCTATATTTAGGGGTTTACAACTTATGAACACATCGTTTCACTGGTCTTCTGATATATTACAGAAATAAATGTTAAGTGTCTATTATGATGCTGAAGAAATGAACATTGGTTTTAACCTCAAATTGTGGAGCGTGTATATAAAGGGATATTGTGCTGACAGATGTAAGTTGGAATGGTAAAAGTATTATAAACAAAGTTGGGAGGTAAAAAACCAAGATCAAATATCAATCAATAAAAGTCGAAACTAACGGGTTGTAGCTTTTGGAACGGTCTTATAGTCATTATCTCTGTTCATTAGTTCATTAGTTCATTGTCATAAAACAGCGTACATGGATTGGAAATCTTAATAACCTTAACCTGGTAACCTTGTAACCTTAACCTGGTAACCTTGTTGCATGCACAAAAGCAATTCTAACTGCAGATCCACATTTTTTCAAACAAACTGAATCTACACAAAATTGTACGCGTCTGCAAAGTGCAAACTAAACGTTTGGTTAAAGACTACAGAAAAGCAACCTTTCTTTAATTAAACTATTAAACTCGTGAGCCAAAAGTGACCTGCTTTTGAATTTGTACTAAGAGTTGAGGCGTCATCTTGAATTAGTGCTACTTGGTGATATTTTCTATAAATTCCAGGATATACAGATAGCCGGATAAATAATCTAGTTACCCAAACTTGATATAATTTATAAAGATAATGTAGTTTCTTTTTGTACATAGTCAGATATATTTTAACCTATTTAAACTAGATCAGAGTGGCACTGGCAGGCTCTCCAGTAAAGCTTCAACCGTGGTCCATGACCTTCAAATGACACTGCTTAATGTAGGTCCTTTGTACAAACAAATCCAATACTGACCAGAATATTTCCGTGAAGATAAAAACAGCAAAGTAGACAATAGGTCAGCATCCCGGTACAACTGAAGGTAATACCGGGCAGCTATCGCAACCACGCAGGATTATTCACTGTACCACGCTCATTACTAATCATGCGCCAGTATTCCTCCCCACGTGGTATGACGTCATGTCACGTGGTACGACGTCATGTCACGTGGTGTCACTACTCACGCTCAGTCAGGATACCACCGCTTATGTAAACAATCAGGTAGTGTCATATTGCTTACAGTTGTCATATACACCGTGTGTGATTAGCAAATTAGGGCCCGGGAAACTGGGGACTACCTGGTTCTCAGCCGTAACAAGGCCCTAACTAGTTCTGATAGTATCTCTAACGGATATTTGAAGGGCTTTGTTAGCTCTCATATTTCCAATGTAACCTGGTTAGGACTACTGACTGGTAGTAGTAGTAACAGGTTGGCTGCCACAAAGCCAGCATTGAGGCGGGCAAACAAAGCTCTGGCAATAATTTTTGCCATGACCAAAACCGCAAAAACCGCATTTGTTCATGACTTAGACAAACAAAATATTTCTATGTCCTTTTAAACAAACAAATAGCCCAAAGTCAAAAAAAACACTATTCAAGAAAAACCTCAACTATCACTGCCCACATACATCCTAAAAGTAAAATATTTCCTCGCAGATACAAATTTTATGTTTTCTGTGGCCCGCTCGCTTCGCTAGGCCCCAGAAAATGTTTTGCGTTCTTGCTTGGCCACATTAAAATCTACAATAACAAAATATCTGAAGCCCTTCAAAATAGTGTGTTACAAAATGGATTTCTTCTACAACCCACAAGTAAAACATGGCCAGCTTGCACCATCTGGTGTAGTTATCACAAATTATTATATGTGCCTTGAAGAGTAGAGGCAACCATATCCTGAAAAATTTAGAGTGCATGCAACTGAAACTTTCACACAGACAGGAATTGAAGATATGTTTGCAAAAATTCTCACACAGTTCAAGGCCTAGAAGCAATTTAGCAATAGAGATCATTTTCAAACACAGTTTCAAAAACGATCCAAAAAACTGTTAGTTTTTTCTTCTTTCATTTGTCAACAATTTTGAATTATTTTTTGAAAATTTCCTCTTCACCAACAAAAAAATTTGTATCAAAATTTTTCAAAATGAGATCTTAAACTTTTAAAATTTCCTCTTGGGCACCAAAAATTTCCATCGAAAATTTCCTTGAAGATTATCTGCCAATCTGCTATGGTTTCTGGCTGTGGGCTGAACTATGGCACTAAGTGTAATGGCACTATTTTAAACATCTATTATATTAAGACGCAATGAAACTACCGGACCACCGATGTATGGGGACTTGCCACCCCATGGCAACATTAAAATATATCGACTCTGTTCGTTTATCGTTTCCTGTTAATGTAAAACTCCGTTACAAATTGATATCGGGTCTCAATAAGAGGTCTAGACTGCCTAGGCATCAAACCTTGGCAGTCGGTAATTTTCTTCTTCCTCGGAGCCAACTGACCCTAGGGACCAGAGGATAAAGGCGTAGAGACTGTATGAATCTACAAAAAACGGGATAATAGGAATCACAAAGTGTATATTACATAATTATTTTAAACATCTATTATTATTATCTAACGAGATAATTAAAACCTGGCTTTATGGGCAATATACCGATATTTACTCAGTGGTAATGTATTAAATAGTAAACACTCGAACAACAACTTGGCACTGAGGTGCATAGAACCTTAAATAAACAAAAGAACTGTAGTCCTGAAACTATGTGGTATTAATAACTTGTACAGTGGAAGCCGCTAGAAAGTAAACAATAGCTCCATGAAATTTTCATGTCCTGTTTACTATAAAGTTCATTGTGTTAGTCGAAAAGTTCTCTTGGGAGTTGGGACCTTAATTAGAATCAGATTTAGAACCGGAAATATCATGGCATCATGCGCTAAAAATAGTGTGTGAATATTGTGCATAATGTGCAGCATTGGATCGTCTAGAAGAAGGAGGTGAGTAAAGTCAGGCAATAACGAATCTCACAGAAAATAAGAACTACCACTGCAGGTGTAACGGAAACTGCAGGTGTAACGGAAACTGACATAATTAAGAGGACCAGACACAGGAGCGTAGCAACATTAGCAACTTATCGTAGAGACAGTGTGGCTACTTTTACTAAAGTTTCCGAGACTCTGTCGGTTCCAAGTGTTTGTCGTAAGACAACCAATGAGACACTTAAAACATCAGGCGTGACTGACGAGGTAGCCACAACAAGTAAAGCGTCTGAAGTGCTCCCAGGTCCAAGTTCAAGCATGACTGCTCATTCTACGAATATCATCGAGACACCAAAAACATCGCGCGTGAATACTAAGAGAAAGGTGGATAAGGTGGAAAGGTGTGTGTCCCCTAAAGAACAAAGTGAAGATCAAGAAGCAAAGAAATCTAGATTAGATAAAGACTTTGAAGTAGAACAAGTACAATCAAAATGAACGGAAACGGTTTCAATAGATACAAACACTCTGATTACTTTGCCCAACCAGATAGGACACGTCGCAATAAGTGTGAGATTTAACAGCAACAATATGTTTATTGGAAAGCTGCCAAATAAAATTAAAGACAATGATAAAAATGTAGGAACTGGCTGTCTTTTCCTGCGAGAGCGGAAGTTCATTTTACGGTGAACTATTAAAATATCAAAACATGCCAAACTTTTTTATTCTTTGTAACATAATATCTTGCTCCTTTTAGAACGCAAGCTGTCGTGTGGCAACCACGAGAGTAACACGATGGTAGCAGCATGACAGGATACTCATTGGACAATGGACACTTTGTGTCGGAAGTAGATACAGTTTTTGCCAATTTTACACGGTTAAAATGCACCAAATTTCAAATTTTTGTCTTGTGCCGTTCCATAAGCAATTTATAGAACTCCTGACAAAACTCGTGCCCTCGGCACGAGTTTGGTCAGGAGTTCTATAACTTACCTTACTACAGTAGCAGCCCGATTTACCGCGGACTTTGGGGAAAAGAAATTATAACTAATAAATCGGTGTTTGCGGTAAATCGGGGATTTACTGTATTTCAAATGTATGTGTATTACCGGAGGGGGTAAGCACACAACATGATCAAGACTGGATGAATGATGTGGCTTGACTGCGCTGACCCTTTATACTTGTTCCATCTCTACGATTGCTTGTTGAAAAGTAGCTCTCCTGGAAAATTGGAAACATGACCGGAAGTAAATTAGGACTGGTGAAGTCACGTTTCCAGTCTCACTCAACTTCCTAACCAAATCAGCAGTGATGAGTGGTGACAGCTAACACCCAGTTATTGCAGACACAACGTCATAAGATCGAGTGTCTATCTCAAATACCATTAAATTTAACCTACCATGAAGCATTCTTACGGAAGTAGAGTGGGTCTGGTAATTAGGTATTTACGTAATTAGGTTTAATAAGCAATACTCGATTCAGACATTACTTTCTGATACCTGATGCAGATGGATGCTTTTGATATCGTAATCGAATATAAGTGATAGATAATCCGCCATTATAATAACTAGTTAGCACTTAGCATGGTATTGAAGTGTGAAGATCAACTGATCAGCAACTGATTGCTTGTGATAGGCGATAGCTTATGATTGCTTGTGACCCATAAATGGTATTTTAATCAGCGTACACCTACCGTCTTTTACCTATCTCTACCCTTATTAATTCCCGACTTCCAATATTTACTTTCTGCGGAATATAGAAAGGTGGCTGATGAAAAATAGGTTTATCTCAGAAACACTAATTCTACTGACACGTCAACAATGAACAATGAACCGAGGCGTGGAAGGTATTCGAGGTTCTAAAAATTACCACAGATTGTTGATAACTTACACGTATGTCGCAGCTTTCAGGTTCAATCCAAGTAAAAAATTCGTTCTGCGGAAAAATTATAAATATATTTCAGGGTCGATACTATTGCTTGTCTGTCTGTATGTTTGACTGTCAGTATATTTGTTTGTATGTTTATTTGTCTGTATGTTTACGAGTTTACTAACGAGTCTGTTTTTGGCAGGTGTTCCTGTGTATACTGGCAAAGACACTAAGATGGCGCTCAACCAGGCGCAAGCCCAGTACAAGTTACCCTCTATCGAATGGTAAGTGTTGTATCTCTAGTTACGAAATAATATCTGCATACTGCGACTTGCATTTGAAAGTATCTCTAGTCTGATAACAGAGATCATATATATTCCGCTGCAAGTGAAATGATCATGAGTCACGATTCGTGACTGTGTTTTGACGGTGACAAATTTATCACTAGAGTAAGATATGAAATTAGTACAGTTTATTAACTGATTAACCAATTATTTAATTAATCGATTAATTAATCACCTGTACCCTCCATTCCAGGAAAATGAACATGTACATTCTGTTCTTCTGCTTCATGGTAGTTGCCCTGGCAACAGTACTAACAATAGTGGAGTTCTTCTGGGAGGTTGAGTGTGATAAGAGGGCTCTTTACAGGACACGTGTTACTTTCAGTCACAGTGTAAGTCTGTTCAAACACAAGGATTTATTTCTTTGCGTGAGATGAATTCTACTTTGTTAGAATCACGTCTTTTTGAAGGTTTTGGAGCAGAAGAATTGATCATCATACATAGAACAATCAAAATTAAAATAATCTCTGAAGTCATTCCCAAGTTGTATTCTTAAACTTAATTTGAATTAATAAATTTTATGGACACCTGCTGATGGCCTAGTTACCCTGTCACTCTATCAACTATCCAAACCATGTGACCACAAGGTCGCAAATTTAACTAGTAGTCACATGTTTCAATTTTCGTTCAATTTTCGTTCAATTTTCGTTCAATTTTCGTTCAATTTTCGTTCAGATGCATCAAAAAGATGCATTTTTAACGCGTAACTCGAGTATCATTGTATGAATACAATATTGACGTAAAAATCAGCTTTGACAGTGGATTTGTTGCACGCAGTTCACCATGCCAGACGATTGTACTAATTTGATGCGTACGGTTTTGATGCGTACGGTTTTTATGTTCTCGAAAGATTGTGTTGAGTATTTCTTACCTATATGACAAGTACCATAATTTTGTTTTCCTTATCGAACACACTTCTCAAAGATAGTAAGCTTGTTTAAAAAACGTTGTTTGTACACCATCATACCTCCGTAGCTCAGAGTAAAAAATATGACAGCCCGGATAAATAATTTCGACACAGACTTCACCAAGTTTATAACAAAGGCAAACACTAACAGAACTATACGACACTCAGTAAAAGTTGTGACAAAGACAGAGATGTTAGAAGTAAGCGGTGCTGTTATATCTCAACACAGTGAGGTCATGATGAAAATTGTTCAAAATGATGAGGTTTTCTTGAATGATTATGAATTTGCTGAGGAGTGTGTGATGATTCTACATGGAGGAAGTGTAGTACTCACCGAGGATAACTGTGAGGAAATTATTAAGTTTGGGATCCAGTTTCGTTTGACTGATCTGATCGAGCATGGACTTGAATACATAGCATCAGTGTTAACTGATGGAAGGAATTTGAGGAATTGGGCAATGGTTTGCTATCGTGCTCACAGGTTTGCTGGATCTTGTAACTTGGAAGCTAACATTGAATATTTCTGGCCGCTTGAAGACTTCGTGAAGTCTCTGTCGACGCCCACGATAGATGAACTTGTGGCTGATATCAATCTTACCGAAGGAGCTAAAGTTATCTTGGAAATGATGAAGAATGGGATTCTGGCGAAAACATTTTTACGCGTTTTTAGTTCATTGATAGATCGATCAAACATTGACGAAATTTTAACATCATTTGTACAGGTCGAAAATTATGATTTGTACACGGAGGCTTTTTGGCACTGTAACAAATGTTATATTTCGTATTTCTTCTCTATGATCGAAGTATATATTCGACATAAAATGCCGAATAAACAACTAAAGATATACCAAAATCTAAAGAAGTTCATACTGCGGGAAATGAAAACCAAGGAACTCAAATTCAAATCAGATCACAGTGATTTGTTGACTTCGTGGAAAAATTACAGTGAAGAGAAAATAAAACAAGTTTGCAAGGTGTTTGAGACCGATTTCTATGTTATGGAGGTGTTGATGTCGTGGGTCACACTAAATAAACCGGATCTTAAGACAGTTCGGCAACTATGTAATCTGATCGACACATCTAGGATACCAGCTAAAGAGTACTTGGAACATGTGACACAAGTGTTTAAGACAGAGGGCTATATCGTCTCACTTTATCTCGGAGATTGTAGAGTTAGACTCGTCTCACTTAATGTCGGAGATTATGTTAATAAACTTACGTATACCTTCAATGATGGTCATAATGTTATGGAGAGACGATTAGATATTGATATTGATGAAATAGCCAATTTTGCTATAATTATCAACAAAGATGGGGTAAAAACAGACCCCGAAGTTACCAATTACAGTTGGATAATATATGGCAGAACGGTGGAGGGTAAACAGATTCCTTTCTATACTGACATACAGGCTGCACTTAAAGTGGAGACTGTGTACGATCTTAAGACATGTGTTTTGTGTTTAGTATCCCCTTAGCTTCGTTTGAGACTTGAAGTTGCTGCCATGATTGTTGAAAAACCTGTGTACGTTATGTATGGGAATTGATAATTTTGTGAAAACACTGTTGTAAACTATCCACCTGACTTATTTTGACGTATTTTATATGAACTGGAAAATAAAATGTACGTTTATTTAAATTTACTAATCATTCTGAAACTAATTATGTGAAGTGTTAGATTTTATAAATACGATTTAAACATGTGGACGATTAGTATTTTGCCTCAGAAAATTGTATATGATTGTACGATATTTGACAAACCTTATACGAAAAACTTATTGAAAAATGTTTTTATTTGAAACTTTCCTATTATAATCTTGCGACATTTGCAGCCAAACTGATCGACATTTGAATACAATGAGTAATTTTCTGAATTAACTAACACTGTACATTTTCTTCAGATTGGAGGCTTCCTAAACGATTTCTTCTCCTTCATCGTACTTTTCAACTACGTTATCCCTATCTCGCTGTACGTCACCGTGGAGGCTGTCAAGTTCATCTCTAGTTACTTTGTCAAGTGGGATCTTGAAATGTATCATGCGGTAAGTCAGTCGGTCAGTCGGTAAGTCGGTCAGTCGGTCAGTTGGTCGGTCGGTCAGTTGGTCGGTCGGTCGGTAAGTCAGTCAGACAGTCAGTCAGTCGGTCGGTCGGTCGGTCGGTCGGTCGGTCGGTCGGTCGGTCGGTCGGTCGGTCGGTCGGTCGGTCGGTTGGTCGGTCGGTCGGTCGGTCGGTCGGTCGGTCGGTCGGTCGGTCGGTCGGTCGGTCGGTCGGTCGGTCGGTCGGTCGGTCGGTAAGTCGGTCGGTCGGTCGGTCGGTCGGTCGGTCGGTCGGTCAGTCGGTTGGTCGGTCAGTCGGTCGGTCGGTCGGTCGGTCGGTCGGTCGGTCGGTCGGTCGGTCGGTAAGTCGGTCGGTCGGTAAGTCGGTCGGTCGGTCGGTCGGTCGGTCGGTCGGTCGGTCGTCGGTCGGTCGGTCGTCGGTCTGTCAGTCGGTCAGTCAGTCAGTCAATCAGTCAGTCAATCAGTCAGTCAGTCAGTCAGTCAGTCAGTCAGTCAGTCAATCAGTGTGTCAGTCAATCAGTCTGTCACTCTGTTAAATGACACCACCACTTACAGGAGACAGATACACCAGCTAAAGCGAACACGTCAGATCTTAACGAGGAGCTCGGGCAGATAGAGTACGTGTTCTCTGATAAAACTGGTTAGTGTTAGTAGTAGTAGTACTAACTAGTACAAATCGTGATTTTCTCAGATCCTCGCGACAATTCACGATTTTTAAAGTTCTCCGCGATTAATCGCGCATTTTCCTTTAAATCTGGTGACCGATAATTCCCGTATTTTCCTTTAAATCTGCGGGTCAAATATCACGTTATCTACAAGTATATGGAACCAATCACGTCCACAGCCTTCCGAATGTAGAGATGTAGGTACGGACTTCGAAAATCAAAAAACCATTTTTGGCTAATAATGATCAGGGTAGCATGAATAGATGAATCGTGAACAAAAGTAGTTTCTAGAAAAACTTTGAAAAAATGTTCACTTATAAAATTTTCGGTCCGAGTCATGCTCGATACGTACCTCTGAAGGCAGAGCTACCGCTTCCTAGCTCGCACTGCAAAGGGGAGGCCTGCCTTCCGAGATCGCATTACAATGGGAAAGCATCGACTCCAAAATCGTACAAACATCGAGGAGTATGTAATTGTACTAGGTACTGACTTCAGAAAACCGAAAAGAAAAAATGTTATGCGATCATAATAATCAGGGTAGCATGAATCATCACATGGCATGGAGTACGTTTAGACACTTGATTATGATATTATCATTTAAGAATGTGTAGTGTGTAGTAATAGTATGTGACTGGAGATTGTCGAGAATGTGTACTGTTTAGTGTGTGAACGGCAATTCCAGAACATGTAAGACTATTGTCCCTTGATCCTCGAGTCTCTCCCGATCGGCGCCGCGATTTTAGGCCAAAATAATCGCGATTTTCTTTTATCCTTGATAGTTAGTGCTATTCGATTCAATAACGGACTAGTCGAATTACTGTAGCAGTAAATTGTCGTGCCGAGCTGATCTTGTAAGTTTTAAAATAGAGTTCCACTAAAGATCTATCATGAATTATTCACTAAATTAATTCATTAATCACTAACTATACCAGGAACGCTGACGGAGAACGAGTTAGTGTTCAGGAAGTGTTCCATAGAAGGTGTAAAATACGCTGCAGGTGACGGAGTCCTCATAGAGGAAGCTTCCCAGATAGCTGTAGACCTTGCCAACCAAAACGTGGGTCTTATCATTAATTTGTTAATTAATTGTATTTTAACGCACCACAGACTTCTATAACAGATTTTGAGCCTAGTTTCCCTTAACAACAGGCAACAAATTTCTTGAGTTTGTAGTGGCATTGATAACAATGCCACTGCGCACTCTTTTATTGAGCTATGACGTCATGAGCTAAAACTTTTAATTTTTTACGTCATCAGCTGTGATTCAGTTATGAGGGGTGTTTTGTAAATTAACACTATCCTCCCCCTCAGGTAAAAGATTTCCTGATAACAATGTCACTGTGCCACTCGGTCTTTACTACTGAACAACAGGGGAACTTGAAGTACGAGGCTAGCTCCCCGGACGAGAAGGCACTGGTCGAGGCTGCTGCTGAGTGAGTTATTTGTGACGTAACATTCTTTAAGTTATGACGTCATTTGTTATTTTATTATGTCATCGTTTATGATTCAGTTACGAGGGGTGGACGTAGTGTCGAAAAGTGTCAAATAATAAGCAATCGTTTTTTTTGCCATTTCCAGTCTGTCGCTTCCTTGTCTAGTTGATCTCATCCATTTCAACTAAACAATAACACGGCCCAAAAAAGATGAATAATCTACCTAACTTGATCAGATACGGTATAAAGTTCATGTTCGCGTCCCGTAACTCTCGGAAGATAAGAGTGGAAGGTAACCTAGATCGGTACGAGTTCCTCTATATCCTACCCTTTGATAATACCCGGAAACGAATGAGTATTATTCTCCGGGATCCCAGTGGGAAGGTTAGTTTTGTTATTGTATTATTAAAGTTATATTTAGTGATTCAATCAAAGAAATTTAACTTATGGATCTGATTTTTTATTTGACCCATTGAGTTATTTGTTCTTGGTTGGATCACTGAACAAAAATCAAATCAATAAATCTACATTCAACATCAATGTTTTGTATTTTTTTATTTAAAAATTGAATTAATTATCATATATATAAATCAAGCGTTACATTTACTGGGTTTTTTTCATACAAATTATTTACAATCGAAATGACTTAATTGTATATGGTTATCTATTATTCAAAACACAGCTTCGCAAAAAATGTTATTAAAAGAACGGATCAGGTGTCTGACAGAAAATCAGTATTCTAACTTAAACATACAGTATTAAACCGTTAATGTTTTGGAAAAAATTCTGTTCCCAGTTTCACTTATTAAGATTCTTATTGATAATATTCAGATACGAATCACTTGTTCAGGTTACGTAGTTAATAATAATCAAAATTAAAACAAAAAATGTTTAGTATGGTTTAATTATTGGTTCTACTCTATCGAACGATCACAGCAAAATATAATTATAATTTAGATAAATATTGTTCCTACAGTTTCACTTGAAATGTATTATCGGAGTCAATATAGAATATCTTAACGTTTGAGTATTAAGTTAACGTCTTCTTCTTCATTTGCTCTTCCTCCAGCGTCCTTTTCACTGCCTCGTACACTAGGAATTTCTCTAGCAAGTTCGCTTATAACTACGGGCTGGTTTACTGTATTTGGTTCCACTTGCTTAAACAGAAGGATTGCCAGGAGAATCAGGAGAATCGCTGAGATAACTCCAAGTATAATTATCAGAGTCAGATACAGATCTGAAAATTAGTACATTTTAATTAATTTGTTATCGTATTAGTCGAGTCGTAACTATTCGATTATAATTTATAATCGTTGCCTGGTTTGGATTGTGCTTTTAGAATAATTTGGGGCTTATCGAATATTCGGTGTTCGGTAGTACTTGGTAACCGGGTGGATGGGAGGGGGCCATTTTTCCTCAACTTTTGGTCAAATGGGCATGTGCTATGTGCATCGATGGGCATTACTGTTTATGCCTTAAACATCGAAAACTTGAGTTATATTAGCAAGTGCCAAGTACTTCTATATTTCAGCCCAGTAGACTATGATATCAGAAATATTGATTTTTTATTTTTCGATTATAACCGATTTTTATCGAATTTTGACCAAAATATGATGAAAATTATGGAATTACGGTTACCTAGTTGTTGTTCTTTATCCTTAAGATCAGATTTCATCTCCTCAAGCTCTGTCAGGATTGTGTTCATCTGCTGTTTTTTATCATCAAGATCAGATTTCGTCACCTCAAGATCGGATTTTGTCACCTCAAGCTCTGTCAGAGTTGTGTTCATCTGCTTTTCCTTTTCCTCCAGATAAAATTTAGTCTTCTCAAACTCTGCCAAAGTTGTGTTTATCTGCTGTTCTTTATCCTTCAGATCAGATTTAGTCTTCTGAAGTAACATTTTTAGCCTAGATATGCACCCACTTCCGATCTCAGATACATCCCCGTTCCTAGTCTCTAGCAGTATTTGTTCCCACTTGATGGCTCTCACCACCCCAAACGTCTCTTCTATTTCAGTGCACTTGTCTTTTGCCATCTCCTGAACTTCAGTGCTACTCAGTTCCTTGGAGAATAAGTTGAGCTTATACAGCTCCCCTCCAAATATATTGCGCTGCTCCATCCCTCCACCATAACTGTCCTGATCGTTACCGATTACAAGATAACCGTCGGTACTGAGTCTGTATCCCGGGGGTGTTGGCCTGCTGCCAATAAGCTGTCCGTTAAGGTACACTCTATATATTAGGGATGACATGCTCCAGGTTCCACAGTAATGGTACCAAGTCCCTGATGGAACTGAGCTCATCTCACTTGTCAAATCCCAGTATTGGTCGAAGATGACGTTGTAGCCATCACTTGATATAAAGAGCTCGTTGTACAGGGTGTTTCGAGACTCGTGTCCAAATTTTGAATGGCTCTCAAAATCTAAAAAATGAGACAAACGGTATACTTTTTGTTTTAAATTGTAGACAAATTATTACATTTTAAAATACATAACAAAAATAAATCTAATATTTTAACAATTTTTCGAACCAAGCCCCCTTTCTGCATAGAAGGTTTTGAACCCTCGGAAGCATATTGTCTATTGCACGTTTTACCATGTCAATTTTTAACTTTTTAGCCTCCCTTCTGATATTGTTTTTTAGCTCATCTACTGTTTGTGGGACTGGGTCTGAATAGACACGTTCTTTCAGATAGCCCCACAAAAAGAAATCAGCCGGATTCAGGTCAGGGCTGTAGGGAGGCCAGCTGAACTCAGCTTTCCTCGATATCAGTCTTTCCCCAAAATGCTCCTTCAGCCAAGCCAAACTTTCGTGCGAACAGTGTGGAGGGGCCCCGTCTTGTTGGAATATACAGGAATCAAGTATTTTTTTCCTTTTAAGTACTGGGATTACCTTTCCACGCAACATAGCAATGTAATTTGCTGTCCTTATCGTCTCTGCCTTCTCTTCTTCATTCTCGAAAAAGTGGGGTCCGAAGACACCATGGTAACTGAGGCCCATCCAAACAGTCACCTTTTCTCTGGTTTTTGGACCTTCCACGGTGGCATAGGGTTGCTTATCTGACCAGATTCGGGCATTCTGAGTATTAACCCACCCTGATAGTTGGAAGTGAGCTTCATCGGAGACAATAAGGTTCTTCAAAAAGTTTTGATCAGACTCAATTTTGCTAGCAAATTGCTTGGCAAAGTCCACTCTTTGCTGCTTGTTGGCTGCCGTCTGTTCTTGCAACATCTGAATTTTGTATGGGTATTTGCCTAACTCCTTTCTCAAGATCCTCCAAACGGTTGTGGTAGATAGCTTAGTTCTCTTAGCGATGTTCCTTACAGAACGTCGAGGGCTTTTGTCAAGGATTTGGTCGACTTTTTTGATGTTTTTCTCATTAACTGCCGTTTTTGCACCCCCACCTGTTGGTTTCCTTCTGAGAGTCAATTCTCTCTCAAATTTCGTCACTTGTCGCTGAATAGTCCTAAGATGAATTTTCCTGCCTGCATTACCGTATTTCTTTGAAAGTGCCCTCCTAGCAGCAGTCCAACTGCTTCTGTTGACATAGAAAAGCTTGACCATGTCTACTCTCATTTCGTCTGATATGCCAGATTTTGACATTTTTTCGAAGAAAATTTCGAAAGGATACAAATTTGAGAAAAGATGAGTTTTGAAACGAATTTGTGAGAGATAACTGAAATGTAAGGTATAACCAGCATTTTAAAACCGATTGCATCTAATTTTGCTCCTTCATAAAATTAAAAATTAAAATTTTAAATTTGGACACGAGTCTCGAAACACCCTGTAGTTACCACTGTTCACTGCGTAGGATAGCCAACTCGGGAAACCACTAGATCTAAGATGCCTGATCCATGAACACACTGAAAAAGCATTTTGAAGAGGTTCCATGTTCGGCTTGAAGATGATATAGTCCGGAAGGCTGTTTCCAAACTTCAGGGCGGTATATCGGCGTTTGTCGGCGGTTGAGTCCCCGGCAGTTGAGTCCCCGGCGGTTAAGTCCCCGGCAGTTGAGTTTAACAGAAGTAAGGATAGTATTCCAAGGATAACCGGCTTCATCTTTAGACTAGTCTTAGCTAACAGTAATAAAATGGTAACATGGTGATTGGTAACTTGTGAGTTACTTTAACATTGTTTAGTTATGTCATAATAAGTTATTATGTACTTTATTAGTAGTTTCAAGTGGGAGGAATTTCTTTTTCAAAAAACGTTGAAATTTAATTTTAGAAGCGACGATGGTTAACGTTATTTGTTGGAGATAAAATGAAGAATATAGAGTATTCTTGGTGACAATAGAATCTTTGAAATGAAATGAAGAATATACTTTTGTGCACACAAACATAAACAGAGACGGCATCAAAAATAGCTATGAACTCGCAACAAATAAGGAACTAGTAAAAGAAATGATGAGCCTTTCAACATTTGACTAACAACGAAACCAGCAGAAAGAATGATAAATATGATACGTTAATTAAATATGATATACTTTCTAACACTACACATTACTATGTGTAATAAGAAGTTCTAACTTACTAAAGTGTATGTCTTGTAATTTGCACACTGCGTAATGACGCTGTTACCAGAGGTCTATACCAGAGTTGTATAACAGAGTTGTATAACAGAGGCGTGCACAGCAATTTTGTGAATTGGAAAATGTAAAAGTATGACGTTACTACTCCAATATCTATGTTTTTTGTCACATTATCCAAGCAGTGATTGGTTCATGACCCTAGAAATGGTTCCAGTTCTGTAATCCAGGATAAAGCCCTGTGCCCTGTGTTAGAACAGATGCTGCAGCACATACCCTCACCCTGGTTCAGGGACAAAAGAAAATCGCGATTATTTTGGCCAAAAATCGCGATACCGCGACAAGCCAAAAAGACGACATATAAAATTTGTCGCAAAGAATGGGAAAAATCGTGATCCTGCACATGCCGCGATTTCTTTTTGTCCCTGCCCTGGTTGTGCCGTCTTATCTATAACAAGTTATGAAGTTGGGGTCTAATTAGTAATTATCTCTGGACGTTAGATGTATAGTATACTTCTCAATCTATTATTCATTTAATCTTTCCAGACCGTGGTTTGGATATCAAACCAGCCAGACCGCGGTGCAAAGCCTCTGTTCTATAATACATAATTTACATAATATAATACATAATACATATAAAACTTGATTTAGCCCTGCCGCTACTGTGTACCGGGGACAAAAGGAAATCGCGGCATGTACGGAATCGCGATTTTTCCCATTATTTGCGACAAATTTTATGTACAGTTTAATGTATAGTCTGTTAAAAATCGCGGTATCGCGATATCCTTTTGTCCCTGCTGTGTACTCTAACAATTTACCACACTCTACTTGTGCCCTGTTTTTAATACTAACTTAACTTGCTTCGCTAATCAAAATTGGTTCATTATCATTCTCCATGCTACACACTACCAACATCATTTAATGCAGACAACTTAAAAACATGTAAAGTGTAAATGTTACATTACATAGATAATTAATTTCAAATTTTAGCCACACTATTAACACTTATTTTCGTCCTTATAATTACATTTATTTTAATAATTCCATTATTTTCAGATTTTGTTACTGTGTAAGGGGGCCGAGTCGTCAGTGTTGGATATCTGTGATAGTGGCTGTGTAGATGTAACCCGGAAACACGTGGACGAGTAAGATAAGCACTATTGTCTTTCTACTATCTACTATCTAGTGTGATGTAATATCTGTTAATTAAGATATGCAACGTGTTTCTATAACCTTCCATTATCTGCACATGATGTGCTATCTGTTAAGTAAGATAATAACGATAATATATAAATAAGATAGTAATAACTACCATCCTCATTCCCCCTAGCAAAGTCCCTAACAAAGTCCCTAACATTCCCCCTAACAAAGTCCCTAACAAAGTCCCTAACCAAAGTCCCTGCTAACAAAGTCCCTAACATTCCCCTAACAAAGTCCCCCCCCCCCCCCCCCCCCAGCTACTAAAGAGAAGTGACCCCCCCCCCCTAACAATTCCCCCTAACAAAGTCCCTCCCTCCCCCCCCCCCCCCCCCCCCCCAGCTACTAAAGAGAAGTGACCCCCCCCCCCCCCCCCCCCCCCTAACCAAAGTCGGGGGGGGGGGGGCCAATGGCATAAATGGAGAAAATGGAGAATTACTCATAGGTTTTTTCCATTTTCTCCATAGAAATAGTCTCCATTTTATGCCATTTTATGCCATTTTATGCCATTGAAAACCTGAAAAATTTAGAATTTCGAGAAAAATTATTAAAAAAAAAGATATTTTCGGCCAATAATGAACAGAGTATCATGAAGCATGGAGAAAAGTGGTTTTCAGAAAAACTTTGAAAAATGTTGACTTAGAAAATGTTCGGTCCGAGTCATTTACGATACGTACCTCCCGTATCGAGAGCTCCCGATTCCGAGCTCGTGTTGCAAAGGGGAGGCCTGCCTTCCGAGATCGCATTACCTCGAGTCCAAAATTGTGTATCGAGGGGAAGGTGTGGACTTCGAAAAACCGAAAAAATATTTTCGGCCAATAATGAACAGAGTATCATGAAACATGGAGAAAAGTGGTTTTCAGAAAAAATTTGAAAAATTTTGACCGAAAAAATATTTTCGGCTTATTATGAACAAGGTAGCATGAAACGTGGAGAAAAGTGTTTTTCAGAAAAACTTTGAAAAATTTTGACTTAGAAAATTACCCCTCGGTACACAATTTTGGACTCGAGGCTTCCCCCTGGTAATGCGATCTCGGAAGGCAGGCCTCCCCTTTGCAACAGGAGCTCGGAATCGGGAGCTCTCGATACGAGAGGTACGTATCGAGAATGACTCGGGCCGAAAATTTTCTAAGTCAAAATTTTTCAAAGTTTTTCTAAAAACCACTTTTCTCCACGTTTTATGCTACCCTCTTCATTATAAGCCGAACATATTTTTTTGGTTTTTCGGTTTATCGAAGTCTGCACCTACCCCTCGATACACAAATTTGGACTCGAGGCTTCCCCCTGGTACTGCGATCTCGGAAGGCAGGCCTCCCCTTTGCAGTGCGAGCTTGTTTCGACTGTCGAGGATGTAGGTCTCACTTCTCAGTTTGCTCTCCCCTATTACTCACACCTGCTGTAGCCTGTAGAAATAACTTTATACTAGGCTTGAGTAATTATGAGTTTGCCTGAAGTGTGCCTCTACTAACCTAGTATAAGCATCTAGTAGCCTACTATGAGCTTTCATAAGCTTGTTAGTAAGCGTAAATAAACATGTTAGGATGTCCAATTTAGGTGTTAAACGGTGTTAAAGATGAAATTTCGAAGACAAAATTCATGGCATAAAATGGAGAAAATGGAGAATTACTCATGGGTTTTTCCATTTTCTCCATAGAAAAAGTCTCCATTTTATGCCATTTTATGCCATTTTATGCCATTGGCCCCCCCCCCCCCCCCCCCCAAAGTCCCTGCTAACAAAGTCCCTCACTCAGCTACGCAGCTGAAGGGCTCCGGACCCTGGTAACCCCTAACAAAGTCCCTAACAAAGCCCCTAACAAAGTCCCTGCTAACAAAGTCCCTCCCCCAGCTACGCAGCAGAAGTGACCCCCCCCCCCCCCCCCCCCTAACAATTCCCCCTAACAAAGTCCCTCCCCCAGCTACTAAAGAGAAGTGACCCCCCCCCCCCCCCCAACCAAAGTCCCTGCTAACAAAGTCCCTAACAAAGTCCCTCCCCCCCCCCCCCCCTAACATTCCCCCTAACAAAGTCCCTCCCCCAGCTACGCAGCTGAAGGGCTCCGGACCCTGGTATTCGCCATGAAGGAGATCTCCCCCGAGGACTACACTGAAGTGGACCGACTAATGGTGGACTGTCAGAACGCTATTAATGACAGGGAGGCTAAAGAACAGCTGGCTTTTCAGAGTATCGAAGATAGGCTGTGTTGTATTGGAGTTACTGGAGTTGAGGACAGGTTAGTTGTTGTGTTGTATTGGAGTTACTGGAGTTGAGGACAGGTTAGTTGCTGTGTTGTATTGAAAATCTACTACAGATTTTCTTTCTGTATATCACTATACAGCTCCTCTTTAGAAAAAGTGCATGTGACAAGTAACGAGACAAGGATGCTCTAGGATCAGGAGCGACAAATGATCAATTGTTCTAGACGTGAGGCTTTCTGCAGTAACGGCCCTAGCGAACAGGGGGATGGTTGTTCGCTTGAGTACTATGATGCGGTTATACAAGTCTGGCAAAACAATTTGTGACCTGCCTATTGGCCGGGCGCCGCCGTAGACTCAACACATGGTGTGTGGGGTATTTACCTCGGGCACACACCTTAATCTCTCGACCGGCGGGTCACACCCAAATCTCCTGCTCCAACTCTTTCAAAGGCTGGTACCCTACTACTACGTGGCCAGAAGGAAATTCTTGTAGGAACTCTTAATGTACGAACAATTAGAGAACAATACAAGAGGGATGAGCTGGGTGTATGCATGAGGGATAGTGGCGTACATATTTTGGGCATTCAGGAGCATCGGGTAGTACATAGCACTGAAATCGAGTATCAAGATCTTGGAAGCTCTCACCTCATAACAACTTCGGCATGGAGAACCAGCAATGGGGCGGCTGCTGGTGGGGTTGGTATTGTCTTGGACAAAAAGACAGTATTCAACTCATTGATTAGTGTATACTCACATGACAGGAGGACGATGGTAGCCAACTTTGCAGGGAACCCGGTCACAACTGTTATTGTGACTTATAGCCCGACAGAGGGGGCGACTGTCGACGAAGCAGAAAACTACTACGACAGCCTTGGTGGTGCCATCGACCAGATACCAGCCCACAACTTACTATTCGTTGTAGGAGACCTCAATGCGCATGTCTCATCATCAGGAAACTGGACATCCTTCCACAAGGGTCCAGCAAACCGAAATGGTAGACTGCTAGAGGATATGCTGTTGGAGCGACAGCTAGAAATCACAAACACCAGATTTCAGAAGCGAAGAGGTAAACTCTGGACATATCTCTCAGATATGAGTCAAAGTAAATCTCAAATCGACTTCATCATTTGCCGGAAGAAATGGCGGAACTCCGTCAAGAACTCCGAAGCATATGGTAGTTTCCACAGTATTGGCTCGGATCACAGAGTAGTCGTAGCAAGGGTAAAGCTTAGTCTACGGATAAGCAAGACGGAGAAGAGGGCTCCGGTTCTGGACTGGTCTAAACTTAAAACTGATATCGCTCTACAAGAGAGGTACACAGTGGAAGTTAAAAACCGCTTTTCCATACTTGAAAAGGATGATCAGACGGCAACAGAAAGGTACCAATGCTTTATTGATGCGAATAGGACAACTTCTCGACTTTTACTACCTGAAAAGGAGAAAAAGAAAAGATGTAAAATCTCAGCGACTCCAAGTGTTGAAATTGCCAGGCTGAAGCTGAGGGAATGTAGCATAAAATACCACTCAGATGCTACAGAAGACAACCGAATAGCTGTTCAAGAGGGCAAACAGAAGCTAGGCGATGCTTATCAAGCAGCCAAAGAGCACCTGCTGGAGGGGCAGGTCCGGGAACTGGAGGAAGCAAGTTGGCAGGGCAGACATGCTAAAAGCTGGACCATGATCAACAAGATCACAGGTAAAGCTCCATCATATACTGGCAAAATCAAGGGAAACTCACCAACGGAAAGGGTTCAGAAATGGAAGGACTATTTTGCTACTCTTCTCGGCTCACCACCGACGGTAGAGAACGCGGAAGAGGATATTGACCCAGTCCACCCACCTCTGAATATCGGAACAGAACCGTTTACGTTGGATGAGTACAGGAAAGCAAAGTCCAGCATAAAGGAAGGGAAAGCATGGGGTGACGACAACATAGCCCCAGAAGTCTTAAAACGATGCGACCTTGATCAAATTGTCTTAGACTTCTGTAACAATGCTCTATTGAAAGGTGAGAAACCAGACCAATGGTCAACTGCCAACATCATACCAATTCCAAAGAAGGGCGACCTTAGCGAACCAATGAACTATCGGGGAATAAGCTTGTCATCCCTAGTTGCCAAGTCTCTAAACAAGATGGTTCTAAACCGGTTGAAGCCAGAAATCGAGACAATTCTGCGTAGAAACCAGAATGGATTCAGACCAGGAAGGTCAACAACTCAACAGATATTGGTACTGAGACGTCTTATAGAGGGTGTCAAGAGTCGGAAACTGCCAGCTGTTCTGACATTTATAGACTTTAAGAAGGCTTTCGACAGTGTACATCGTGGGAAAATGCTAAAGATTCTAGAAGCTTACGGCATTCCAGTCAAAATCGTGCAGCTTATACGGCTCATGTACGAGAAGACAATGGCCAAAGTCCTAACTCCAGACGGAGAAACTGAATTGTTCGAGATACTTGCAGGTGTGTTACAGGGTGATACCTTAGCACCTTACCTCTTTGCAATAGTCATCGACTACTGTATGAGGCAAGCCATAGGCGATGATGCGGAGCGACTTGGACTCACCCTCGAACGTAGAAAAAGCAGAAGAGTGGGGCCCAAGATCATCACCGATGTGGACTTTGCAGATGATATAGCACTTATATCTGAGGACATGGACAAGGCTAACGAGTTCCTGCTCAGAGTAGAATCGGCGGCAGCAAGCGTGGGACTACACATAAACGAAGGCAAGACCAAGGTCATGACACTGAATATGGAGGATCGATCTAGCGACCTACAAAGTCGATCCGGGGAAGCCATAGAAAATGTAGATGATTTCATCTACTTAGGCTCCTGGATTGAGAGCACAGATAGGGAGATAAGGGTTAGAAAGGGAAAAGCGTGGGGTGCCCTACATAGACTGAAGGATATCTGGAAATCCAAACTCTCAAAGAGCCTAAAGATTAGATTGTTCATAGCGGCTTGTGAATCAGTACTGCTCTACGGATCAGAAACCTGGACACTGACAAAGGCTCAAGAGAAAAGTTTGGACGGGACATACACAAAGATGTTGCGTATGGTGCTGGGTATCTCATGGAAGGACAAGGTCAGCAATATAACTTTGTATGGTAGCCTCCCAAGGCTGTCAAACAAGTTACGAAGCAGGAGATTAAAAATGGCGGGACACTGCATCCGACATCCTGAGCTACTTGCCAGTGATTTAGTCTTATGGGAACCTACGCACGGTAGAGCACAGCAAGGCCGACCAAGACAAAGCTACTTGTCTATGTTACTGAAGGAAGTCGGGACAAACTCTAAAGAGGAACTGCGAACCCTGATGCGGGACAGGGATATATGGAGGGGGTTTTCTGGCGTAGATCGGACTTAGCTCCGACATAGTAGTAGTAGTAGTAGTAGTAGTTGTATTGGAGTTACTGGAGTTGAGGACAGGTTAGTTGCTGTGTTGTATTGGAGTTACTGGAGTTGAGGACAGGTTAGTTTCTGTGTTGTATTGGAGTTACTGGAGTTGAGGACAGGTTAGTTGCTGTTTTGTATTGGAGTTACTGGAGTTGAGGACAGGTTAGTTGCTGTGTTGTATTGGAGTTACTGGAGTTGAGGACAGGTTAGTTGCTGAGTTGTATTGGAGTTACTGGAGTTGAGGACAGGTTAGTTGCTGTGTTGTATTGGAGTTACTGGAGTTCAGGACAGGTTAGTTGCTGTAGTGATAATGTTAGTTTTATGTTTGTTAATTTAATTGATAGTTTAACTTATGGTATTTGCGCATTAATTTGATGTTTTTTAATTGGTAGACGAATTTTTAGTGGTCAAACATACCGCTATCTTCTGTTAACATGGTGAATACTAAGTATTAAAGATAATCCAGCCGTTTTATGACTAACTGTAACTGTCCTGGGGGCCGGATAAAGTACAGTTTGGCTTACCGATTGGGATGGGTAATGATATGTCTAACACTATAAATGATTTATTATAATATAATGTTTTTAATAACCGTATGAATAACTGTAACTGTAATAGTATGACTAATTGTAACTGTATGTCAGGTTACAAGACGGAGTGTACGATACTATCAGTGCTCTGAAAGAGGGAGGAGTTAAACTATGGGTCCTTACTGGTTAGTTCAACAAATACACATGTTTTAGTAATATTAATATATATAAAGCGATACCATATATGTATATGGATGGATCCGTGCCAGTTTACTGACACCACGGCATCAACTTTAACGCGACTTTCCGCAAAAACCGTAAAAGATATACAACTGAAACTTCTTTTTTTTTGACTGGGTCAAATGCTTTAATAGCCTTCAAATCAGCATAATTAATTTTAAAAATCGTCTGTTTGGCTTGTCGCGGTTTTTGGCCGAAATAATCGCGATTTTCTTTTGTCCCTGGCCTCATATAAACAAATAGATATTGACATTACATTGAACACGAATCTCAGTCCCTCCCCGTTTTCCTTCAAAGGGTATTCTATAAACAGCAGATAGAAGCTTCTTTAAATTATTTCGTATCCTGTTTGTGTAAATTTGTTTCTAATCGTAATTCTAATTCTCCCCAGGTGACAAGATGGAAACAGCTGTGAACATCTCCCAGTCCTGCAACCATTTCACTGTCTCCATGAAACTACACTTCCTTACAGCCAGGAGAGACGGAGAGTCTTGCAAACAGACTCTCGATAGTCTGTTGAAACTGCTGGAGGGTGAGGGACATTTTTGAACTTTGATGTTTGATTTTGGTTAAATTTGATGAAAAAAACTATATAAGATCATCCTCGCGATGTATCTACCAAGAAATATGGCTAACGTTACCGATATTCAACAGCTGTAGTTGCTCTCCGATTAATTAATTCATAAGGTAGCATAAAGTAACAATTTAGTGGACCTCCACTAACCGCCCTAGTTCATCTCTTAATTGATCAATTAACAAATTAACTAACAAATTAATTAATAAATTAACAAATTAAATAACAAATTCTCAGGCACCTCACGTGAACGGAACCAGACGTATGGTCTAATAGTAGACGGCACGTCTCTAGCCACGTGTTTTAACACGTGTCCTGAACTGTTCCTCCGGACCACGTTGCTGTGCACCGCTGTTCTCTGCTGCAGACTTTCTCCTCTTCAGAAGGCTAAGGTTCGTGGGTTGGGGTGGGGTTTTTAGTGGGAGGTTGAGTGGGGTTTTCACGAAAACAGGTTCAATTTAAACCATCAGAAATATCGTGGTAGCTTCTTGACTAGATTCCCTTCTCCAGAAATGGACTGGTTTTTATTATCATTTAATTTTACGGTGTTCAAGACAAAATTATGTAGTATGCTGATTGCTGGTACATGATTGGATGAAACTGTTAACTGATGAATAAAAATGACGCCCTCCTCCTCCATTCTTACAATTCACCTCTCAGGTAGTAAGAATGGTAAAAGAACACAAAACAAATCCAGTAACACTGGCTATTGGAGATGGAGCTAACGATGTCAGTATGATCCTGGAGGCTAATGTTGGAGTCGGTAAGTAACAGATATATCATAGTTTCAGCCAAACAGTCATTAAACATTTACAAAATAAAAGATTAGTTACATCTGTAAATTTGGTTGATTTCAATAGAAATCTTCTGTATAAATTTTGTCGATTTCAAATGTATAACCCGTCTTCATTAATTATAATTAATTAATTTGTTGATTACTACCCTGTTTAGGTATCTACGGTAAAGAAGGCAGACAAGCAGTCAGGTCATGTGACTTTGCCATCGCCCGGTTCCAGTACCTCCGTAACCTGATGTTTGTACACGGACACTACTACTACAGGAGGATATCTACCGTCGTGTTCTACTTCTTTTACAAGGTAATATTGAGTACTGTAAGGTACTGTAAGGTACTGTAAGGTACTGTAAGGTACTGTAAGGTACTGTAAGGTACTGTAAGGTACTGTAAGGTACTGTAAGGTACTGTAAGGTACTGTAAGGTACTGTAAGGTACTGTAAGGTACTGTAAGGTACTGTAAGGTACTGTAAGGTACTGTAAGGTACTGTAAGGTACTGTAAGGTACTGTAAGGTACTGTAAGGTACTGTAAGGTACTGTAAGGTACTGTAAGGTACTGTAAGGTACTGTAAGGTACTGTAAGGTACTGAAAGGTATTGTAAGGTACTACAAGGTACTGTAAGGTACTACAAGGTACTGTAAGTTCATTCATAACATTCCCCGATTAAATGATTATTAATTAATTATAAATTAAATCTATCAGTTCATTGCGTACTTCATAGTTTTGATTATATTTGCTATACCTCCTAACCCCCGTGGTTTGTTTTCAGAATGTAACGTTTGTTGGCCCTGCTATCTGCTTCCTCTTCATGAATGGATACTCCCCTCAGGTCAGTTAAAGTATTAGTTAAAAACTGGCAAAATAGTCCGCTTTCAACTAAAACTGACAAACCTGATCAAAAACTATTTCAGAAGTGATGCACATAAGTAATTAACCAATTAACATTAACGGAATTGCCCATTGCGTTATCTTGAGGCACCACAAGAATGCTGATTAAACCCAGTTTTATCCGACCGTTGCTGATCTGCCCCTGTTTTTCAGACGATATACAGTGAGCTACAACTGATTGGGTTCAACCTAATGTTCTCAGCTCTCCCCATTATTAGTTACGGGTTATTTGAGCAACATCTTCCACCCACCCTGCTTTACGAGAAGCCATCACTTTATAAGTTAGTCGTTAATTGGGTTTAATTAGAGTTTATTTATTTGTTTTGATTAGAAGTAATTAGAAACGCAAGGAATGTCAGTCTTATCAAGAACTTTGCCAGGATCAGATAAATGATGAAATATTGATACTCCCGAAATTATAAAAGGGTTCAATCCAAACTCCACCTTAACAAATACATCAGTTATTCAAATTCCAATAATTGTATTATTAGTTAATTATTATTAGCTAATTACTCAATACCTCAGAGAATCTGCTAAAACGAATCTACTCGCAATAAAATACTTCGTTGCGTGGATGGCTCTAGCTGTGTGGAACTGTTTTGTTATTTTCATCTTCGATTTCTCGATGTTCTAGTAAGATCTTTACGCTATTTTTCAGTTAATTTCCCGTCTTTTAGAATTTTGTTAATAAATTCATATTTATTTAATTCTTAACAATGTAAATGATATAATTTCATAAAGTCTATACATTTTTACGAATTTTACCAACCTAATATTTTTACAATATTCCATTGTAAAACCTTGTTCCACAGTGATGCAGGAGGGTTCAACAGTTCTTAACAATGTAAATGATATAATTTCATAAAGTCTATAAATTTTTACGAATTTTACCAACCTAATATTTATACAATATTCCAATGTAAAACCTTGTTCCACAGTGATGCAGGAGGGTTCAACAGTTCACAGCGAGTTGGTGGTTTGTGGTGTTACGGAACAGTAGCTTACACATCTGTCATATTCGTCATCAATATCATGGTAATTAGTAGCGTGACAAACAATTACTTAGCAACTGATCAGCAGTTAATTAGCAAATGATTGGCGTAGTTAGAATAATGAAAATTTTGATGAGGATACTATTATATTTATTTATTCATCATGCTTACTCGGATATATCTGAGCCATATTTTAGTGGTTCATCTATAATCTAATCTATAAAAACTAACCTTGTGTTTCAGATCGCCCTGAAGACGAGGTTCTGGGTGTGGTTCACTCACTTCACAATTTGGGGCACACTCCTCTCCTACGTCATTATCTCCTACTTCTATGCTATGTGGACCAAGTGAGTGGACTGTCAATTTTAAATAGTGACAACTTCAGGTCGAAAATAATAATAAATTCGCCTTGTTTTTTCTATCTTTTCCATAGAAAGTCCATTCAGTATTCTCAATAAAACGAAACTATTCCCTGCACAATAAATTAAAACACCTTGTTTTTCTTTAAAACAAGACAGACCTTACCCCGTAACGAACACGTCTAACTAACATCCCTTCTCTCACAGCCCTAACGTACTCTGGCTCCACGAGACTAACGACGCAACCTACGTCTTCATCTTCCTCTTCTCCTGTCCAGTAATCTACCTGGAGGTAGCCATGGTTGTGGTTCTCTGTGTCCTCCCGCCGGTCCTGGTCATGTTGCTACAACACCATATGTATCCGATGGAGGCGGATAAGTTCAGGGTAAGTTGTGACGTCATTATTTGGTGATGACGTCATTGTGCAGTGTTGACGTCATCAGCTGTGAGTTTTACTTTCTTAAAGCGTTTTTTACTAGCTTTATTTGAAAGCCGGTCCTTGGGCATCAAGCAAGTGCGCTGCATTTACACTTTCCATGCAGTTTCCATACAGTTTAATATTTCAACTTTAATAACAGAAAGGGTTTAAGGACTTTTTACAAGGATACTACCACAGCATGTCATCAAAAAGCATTGCATCAGCTTGTAAACAGGGATCAACCATTCTGGTTGCTAATTCACTCATTGCACTAACTTAACATTGCACTAACATTGCACTAACTTAACATTGCACTAACTTAACATTGCACTAACATTGCACTAACTTAACTGAGTCCTTGCGTAAGGTCTGAATGTCTAAGTTATAATTAATATTAATGGCAGTTTATCTACTTCAAAATCTGTGCATGAGATTTTCATACTGATTTCCAAACTAAAGGAAATATTTCTATGATAAATAGGTTTCACCTAATGAGATAGCTCTTAATATGGTGTAAGCTGAAATTGCAGGAATTATTCGTGATTAAAATTTGTGTAAGGATAATGTAATTGTAGTGTGTACAATGTTGCTTGATGCCCGTTGCGGATTTTGATTCTAATGTTTTATTTAACGTTGCTGTATCTGTTTTTACTGGTAACGTGGCTACTTCAATTAGAACTCTGCAATTTCTGATATTAGATAATTTATCAGTCAGTGGTTTTTTATTATGAAAATAAGTCCATAAAGCGCGCCGCACTAGGATCACTAGGATTAGTCCTTGATGCGTCACGCTTTAAGACTTATTCATCACTGTAAGATAGGCCTTCATAATTTAGTTTCTGAATAATAAGTAGCCACGTGACCAACCCGGCTACCTCCGCTGACAACCATGTCGCTACTTTGTTTGCTGTGCAGCATGTCCCGTCCTTCCCTCAGCTCCAAGATTGGAACAAAGTCCACGCGGGACGCGACTACCGGCCCTGCTGCGGTTACCGCCTCAACTCTTTTACTCTGACCCAGTACTTTGGGTTGGGGGGTAGGGACGGAATGGGGTATTCGGGAGAGCAGCTGGTGAAACGGGATGACAGTGAGAAATATCAGACGGGTAGTGCAGCGTATGGGAGTATTAGGAGGGGCTCCGCGGGGGAATCGTAACGGTGGGTTGTAACACGCTCAGGTGAGTTTTATAGGTGTTAATTAGTTGTAATTAGGAGGATTAGTTTTTCGTGAATTGGGCTTTATTTAGAGTTTATTTAGACTGTGATGTTTGGAAACCTGAAATTGATGTTAATAAAATTGGTTTATTCCTGTTATGTGTCTAATTTATGCGATTAGTGACTAGCATAACAATGTTTTGACAGTCCATTCCATTGCAAACATTATGTATAATTGATACTTTTCTAACCCCAATTATTTGTCATCGTGATCATCTTCTGATTGTCCTATTTTGTTTTTACCTGTAGCTTTTGCCGCTGCTGTCGCTTTTTGGAATTTAGCGTGATCGCATTTCCACCTTGCAATAGATACTGATATAAATAATTGAAATTGCCGAATTTACAAATTGCCAGCTTATTTTCAGCAAATAACGTATAATTTTACCGACCCAATAATGCTACCTCCTGTTATACTTATGATTTCTCTTACCTTTATGAGTTTCTCACTCCCTGAACCATAGCATAAAATAGCATCTACCCTGATTCTTGAAGCCGTATTGCAATCTTACCTTCTTAAAGTTAATGGCATTGCAATTGATTTCTCAATAATTGTGCCAGAAATATCCATGGCATACTTTAACATAGACTTAATAAGTAGTTGAAGTTCGATTCCCATTTTTTTACAAATTCAAAATACAAATGAAATAGAAATTAAGAATTTTTGGTACAACTCTGACAAATAATATTTATTTTCAGCTATACTACCCAACCGAATACACGCCTATAAAACGTCACGGATCTAGCAGTAATTCTCGAGCAAACTATTCCACGCTAATGGAAGATTGAGATCAGAACGAAATATTATGACGTAACGCGATCCTCTATGACGTCACGTGATGCTCTATGACGTCACAATTAACACGATATGACGTCAGATGAAGACGTGGACTCAGATGATTCGAGCTGAATTACAATCTCAATGTTTAAATGTGTTGATGTTGAAATAATTTATGTGTTTAATTAAATGTTGATTTGTGTACGAGCTGATATGATATAATTTTAGATTAAAGTCCTGTGGAGTTCTGGTGAGTTTTGATTATAAACAAAGTGTTTAATTAATCACAATTACTCTGAACCTATTAAGTATTAAGAATGTATTTGAATTGAATTTCTATTAATTTATTAGACCGATAACAATATGAATATGTATTACTGACATTACTTTTAGTAATTTACGTTATATTTATAACTTTTCCAGTGGCGCGCATCAACAAAATGTTCGTGATACCTTGATGGCCGTTAATTCGTTTGTTTGTGGCATTTTACATAGCATATGTCTTACTCAACATTTATGTTGGGCGGAGACCGGTTGAGATAGTACTTCATATAGTATAGTTTATAGTGATAAGATTCAAGGTAAGGATTTTGTAACTTAAATCTCGAATTAGAATAATTGTGATTCCTTGCACCAGTAGTTGTATTGAACCAGTTTTTGTCGAAAAGGCATAAACAGTAAATTTAGAGTCATTTTCATGTATATTTTGTTTAAGTGTAAATTAAGCTGTATATTGTTTACTGGTTATGCAAGAGAATGTTAATTTTATTTATAATATCCACCTTCGACTAGATCTATGGTTTACAGAATTGATATCATATGTTTGACAAAAAATGAATATAAATTCACGCGTGCGGCCAATTAAAATAAATTTTAAGTTGCTGTGACGGTTTTTTATAACACTCAGTTATTACAGGATGGGCAAGAATAAACGCAATTTGAAAATTTTTGATTGACCTTTTTTCAATGAGTCTCTTTTAATCGAGTAGGTTGCTTCACAAATCGCTATGTTTATAAAAGGTTATAATTATAATGTTATTGCACCCGTCGGAGTTAATTTCTTTACGTTTGGTAATTATTAAATAATAATTATTGAACTTGAACTTAATAAAAGTTTGGTTTATGTTATATGCTATGTGGTGTATATTTTACTTATAGCTGTGATGATAGAAGTAGTGAGTGAGTTCTAGTAATGTAAAAATTGAATATTATTTATTGATTAAAAATGCCAATTTCCTAATTTTAGTCCTGAAATGTGATTGAAATCAGTATGTTTGATGTTCAACTTCAAGTATTTGATGTTGAACATAGGCCCAATGCTGGCATAACCAAGCACTCGATTTGTAGGCCCAATTTTCTGTTCAAGGACCAAACAAAAATTTTAATGTGAATTCTGATGAACAGTATGCAGTAGGATCTCAATTTTGAAATGTATTAGTTTACTTATGGTTTAATTGCTACGTGCGTGTTGATCATGCCTCTGCTATTTTGTGCTCAGTTTATCTCATATCTATTATAGTTATTTCTAAACTGCTATGCACATGAAAAGTTCAAATTTATCCACAGAGTCTTACTTGTTAATGTTTATCGACACTTGATTCACAATGTCAATCCTTCCTAGCTCGGCAGGCCCAGTGGTGCATCTCGCCTGTCGTGCATGCACTTCTCGCCGATCTACGAAGATGCGCGGCCCAGTAGTGCATCGAGCTACAATATCGACACTTGACCGACAAAAACGGACCAAACATGGGAATGGCTTTGATCACTGATATATATATCATATACTGGATACACGTTTCACATAACCATGAGTCTTCGCGTACTACGTGAGTGTGCGCGTGCTACTGCAAGTGCAGTGGCACTTGCAGTTATTTTATGACCAATCAAGACGCTAGTCGCTAACCTGGCACGCCAGTCCAGCCGTGCGGCGTGCGTGGTGCTGTTTTCAATTGCTTCAGCTGAACAGACGCGCGCGTTTAGTTGAACTCGTCGACGGTTTTGGACAAGTTGACGGACAATGGACATTAACTTGACGGTTGTCGGTCGACGGCCGGTTTTGTCATGAACGGCCTATAATATTTGGTAGTGGTACAAACAACAAAGCAAACAATTTACGAGTAATGAGTATCACCCCCGATTTTTAGATACGTTGTATGACCCGCCGCGCACGAAGTGCGCGGCTCCCCCGCGACAGTGGGGGTCACCACGTGATACAAGTTATATGTTGCTTTATCCAAAGCCCTCTCGCTTGTAGTATAATATAGCGCGCGACCGCCGAAGTGCGAAGGCGGCACAGGAGGTGTAAAACAAACTTGATTGACGTTACCTGGGGACCGCAGGCTACCATGTTCATGCCTAGTAAGATTAACGATGTCAACCCATCAAGATCGTTGCTCTGCGAAGCAAAGCAACATTCAACAATCGACGAATTACTGGGCCGCGCTCAGCCTGTCATTCCGCCGAATCTCTATCAAATGTTAATGAACATGATAGCCTGAGGTCCCCAGGTAATTGACGATGCAAAGCAAGAATGCTAGTTCGCGCGGCGCGTCGAAGCGGCGAAGTCCTGGCCTCCAAGAAACAAGCGCGTCACGCAGTATGCGTAGACTCATGGCTAGGTGAACGTTGTATTACCCACCGCGCACGAGTGCGCGGCTCCCCCTGTGTCGTAAAAACGATATTATAAAGGGGGACTTAGTGAAACTTATTGCTTGTTTCTTTCACGTTCAAGCGAAGCTCGAAAAGAGCGCCGCGCACAAAACTGGCGTACCAGGTAAAAATGATCATAGTTTGCGTTGATTCACGATGTCAATCCTTCGCATCTCGCCGATCTGGTTGCGAGAAGCATTATTGGATGCGCACGCGCGACCCAGTAGTGCATCGCGCTACAAAGTTTGCGTTGAAACGGCGGCGTTTTATAAATGCCTCCTTAGAAAGTTATGGGCAAAAACTATTTTGATAACGTGATCACAGGTTTGTTGAAAAAAAATTCGATTATGTATGTGGATTGTTTAGGGCTCGGGTTAGCAATTAGGGTTTTAGTTAGGGTTATGAATAATTTCTGAGTTATGGTTAGAGTTAACGGTTGATTCACGATGTCAATCCTTCGCAGCTCGGTGAGGCACAGTGGTGCATTTTGCCGATCTACCGAAGTGGTTGCGAGAAGAATTATTTGATGCGCGGCGCGACCCAGTAGTGCATCGCGCTACAAAGTTAACGGGTGATACTCGTAATCTGTTCCATATATTGGACCGTCGACGAGTCCAACTCGGCGCGCGTCCTGGTAGGTTGTAAACCTACAAGGTTAGAGTTATAACAGCTAGCTTGAGATTAGAGTTTTATGTTAATTGACGATGTCAATTCATGGCAGCTCGTTGTAGCAGATCGTAAGCAGATCGGCGAGATGCGAAGGATTGACATCGTCAATCAAGGCAGCTCGGCGCGGCACAGTAGCGCATCTCGCCGATCTAGCCAGGCACAGTAACGCATCGCGCTTCAAAGTTTTATGTAATACCGTATATTGTTAATTGCAGACAAAAAATCTAAAAGATGAATATCCACAAAATACTTTAATTTAAAACATTATAAATATCTTTTAAGTTTTTATTTATCGAGATTTTCAGATTTTAGCTTTTCTCTACTAAAATTTTATTGTTTTGATTGAATTTTCATTCAATGACCAATTAGTGAGTTTATTGTGGATGGCACATGTCATTGGGGGTACTGCAAAAGTTAAATTACCGAAGAAAGCTTGAGTAAACCAAAAACAGCGCTACTAATTCACTCACCAGTGATTTAAGGGAAAACGCACTAATTGTATATTGCATAATTATGCAACGGGTAAATAAATCCTAGATCAAATGATTCGATTTAAATTAAACTACTTCAGTAGATGCTGAACCGAATATAACAAGTTTTGATGGTGCAGCTCTTTTTAAAACATATATTTTCATCACATATTTACAGAAAGCTGTATTGGTTTTAAAATAGCTGCCTGAACCTATATCTATTGTCACAGTTCAGTACTCATAATTTGTGCATACTTAGAGGCTAATGCTACACCAATGTGTAAACTAATACCACCATACATATTTTTACAAAGGTTGCCGTTTGGTGTGAGCAATAGCGAACAGCACGCACACTCCTTTGCCCCGTCAACCTATATCTAATCTATTTAAAGAGTGACAACCATACTGCACATTGAATTAGTATTCCGTTAAATATCAAATTGATTTATTGTAAACTTGTCTTATCTGTAATAAATGGCATAAAATTGAAATTTTTGTTTAACTGAAGGGCTGCAAGGTGAGACAGTTTACATTGACAATTCATCTGGTTTAATCGTAATATTATTGGATCTACTGTGGTTTTTTACTATGACAGTTGATAGTCTATCATCAGTCATCTGATCGTTACTACTATATGAGCTAATGGCAGCTACATTTAAATTTAAACATTAAAATTTGATTTATTGTAGCGTATAATTTCTGTGATCGAGTGTGAACCATCTTTAAGGATGTGATATCATTATCGTGGGTTAATGAACGAAGACCTGTGACTAATAATATTGAATAAGACATTATTAACAACATACGCCTGAAGATCACAATGCTCAATCATTAACAATTAAAACTGTACTGAGCAAAATCAACTTTTTTTCATGATTTAACTGCACTCTGTGTCTTTCAGAGTTTACTAAAGCTACAGTCTAGATCAGAAAATCTACAGTAAAAAGTAAATATGTTACTATCTTCACCTAGTACTAGCCAAGCAAGTGGACAAACAATAGTTCTGGATAGAACCAGTTATGATGAGGTAGTTCAATAAACTGATAGATGCAATCTGTGTCTGAAGTCTTTTCTCTTATGAAAATGTCCTACTGACAGGACATTTTCAAATTTCAGCTACGGGTATATGACCCCCAGAATATAGGTCGTTTTTTGAGCACTTAGAAACAGGTGTTAAAACTACTTCTAAGCATGTTTAGGGGTGTAAATATGTACATAATAACCCTTTAAATGTTTCTTGGGTAGTTGAAAATAATTATTAGGTTTTTAAGTGCACTTTTTTCACCTGTAAAAATACCATTTTTTAACAGGGCCCCCAGAATATAGGTCCAAACATCTGTTCCTAAGTTTTTCTAAAATTGTCACAGACAGTTATATGCAGTCAGAATATGTTGCTGAGACTGTATTGATGATGCCAATGGCTCAAGATACTAAATTGAAATGGTTTAGAGTATACTTAATAACAAAAAACCAAAAACTATGGCCCCCAGAATATAGGTATGCAAAAATCGTCCTCAAATACTCCATCTTCATACATTTTGATGATGCCATCTCTTCAGGCCTTCAGCATATGTTCTTTAACTGTTTCTCAACACTACCCCACATTCCTCAATGCTCAGGGTGACAGAGAAAATGCAGAATCTTGGTCGCTATTTTTTTTTAAAACCTATATTCTGGGGGCCATATACCCGTTAGGTTGGTTCATAAAAACCGAAGTTGATCCAATCGCTCTGGGTCCAAGCTTATTAGTTGATGCCTTGGCTAAAATACTGCCTTGAAAAATTTCGTGGCTCAACTCCATCGGAATCTGGACCCACGGGCCACGCCCTTATTTTTCGAGGCCCTTATACAGGCAAAATTCTTAAAATTGCCATTTTTGACCTTTAAACGTCTAGATAGGGCCCCGAAAGCAATTTAGTCTAATATAAACGTGATAGAAAGGTTAAAATTGGTCAAGGTCTCATGTCTCTACGACCTTGCCATCAACATGTCTCCGCACCTCCATTAGACCTATATTCTGGGGGCCCGTAAAATTGTGGTGGCCATAACTTTTTTCCAAATTGTCAGTTTGCAGATGTCTCGATGAAAAGATAGCTTAAAATAATACTTATACTCATACCAGTAGTCTTAATGGCATGTGTTGGACAGATTTTTGTCATGACCATTTTTCGCCATATTTACCCCTCTAGAAAATGACAACATCGTTTAAATCTTTCGCTGTCATGACCAAATATACCAAAATACCTCATGTAGGTCCAAAATTCTTATCCAGAAACATTAGTTACATGTTTTACTCCAACCTAGCAGTAACAGATCCCATTAGTATCGCTTATCTTGGTTAGAACTGTATACACTAACATGACCTATATTCTGGGGGCCACCTATATTGTGGGGTTCATGTACCCGTAAGTTCCTCGACCTAAATTCCAATATTATTTCTGAATATTAGTTGAATGACCAATTAGTGCTGGATTTTCCCAGTCAGAGTAAGCCCCCTCCCCCCCCCCCCCCCCCCCCCCCCCCCCCCGTATTTATTTTAATTTCATTACCAATAATCATAAATACCTAGCACTGTACTGTATTATTTTTTATACTCAGGATAATATGTTAGATGAGAATATATATCTATGTTTTTAATATTATTCCGAATGTTTGATTTCCCAATGTCTCTATTATTCGCAATATTTTTATAGTTTTTAATCTATTCATGTTTTACAGAACTTTTACTCATGATCTAACTTCATTAATATTACCAACATTTACCAACATCTATCACGTGTTATAATCAACATTAATCACTTGTTATTACCAACATCTATCACGTGTTATTACCAACATTAATCATGTATTATTACCTAAATTTATCACGTGTTATTACCAACATCTATCACGTGTTATAACCAACATTTATCACTTGTTATTACCAACATCTATCACGTGTTATTACCAACATTTATCACTTGTTATTACCAACATCTATCACGTGTTATAACCAACATTTATCACTTGTTATTACCAACATTTATCACGTGTTATTACCAACATTTATCACGTGTGACTGTCACGTGTGACCTCTAACTATCCGCATAATATAGGGAATGAGCGGGCCAGCTGCCAATAAATATGTTACACTGGACGAGGACACTGACTCACTAATGTCACACCAACCTGACCTTCTCACTTCCAGGTGAGCAATTTGTTACATTTTATTTTTACTCAAAATCAAAATTCTAAAACTTTGAGTTTACTAATTACTACCATATCTACCAAGATTCAAGAAAATGGTTGAAAATATTGTGTTGTGTATCTGGTTTTACAATCACATTTATCATTATAATTTGAAAAAATTATGGTGCACCTTCTCAACAGCATTTAGATGTAATAACTTTTCATAAAAACCAAACTTAAAACCAAATAATTGTTTTATTAAAATAATTGTTTTATATTAAAAATATAACTGTTACCCTCTGCAGGTCAGTCGAGATATCGACCCAAACAGATGCTTCCATCTCAAGTGAAGGATCGAGGGGAGGCTCCATGGTTGGGGGTATCTTTATCTTGATGAACGCTGTACTTGGTAATTTTCATTTATCTTTACGTTTTAAAACTAAGTAAGTCTACCTTACCTTATTATATATATAAAAGTGAATTTTAAATCCCCACCTTATATGACTATTTTGGGCCTAAATAAATTTACTCTTATTTGGTTTAATTTTCAGCTGAGATGTCGTTATAAAAGTATCGTTTTTTTAATTTGCTTACGTTTATTATTTTACTTACTTTATAATACAATTTATTTTTTCACAGGTGCAGGAGTTTTAGAGTTTCCGTACATGTTCAGTAAAGTAGGACTAATCACAGCGTTTCTACTGCTAGTATTCCTACTTATATGTGCTGGTATGTTAGTTGTTACAGTTTGGGAAATGTACTAACCGACTCTTAGCTGATTCTTAGCTGACTCTTTGCCGACTCTTGATCGAATCTTAGATGAATTTTATCAGACTCTTACCGGGCCGTATCTAGCTCTCAACGGCAGTCCGATCAGTGCCGGGGGGATCAGATACATGATCCCCCGTCAGTGCCGGGGGGGGGGGGGGGGGGGGGGGGTCAGGTACATGATCCCCAGTCAGTGCCGGGGGGGTCAGGTACATGATCCCCCCGTCAGTGCACCAACTACCTTTAAGATTTGAATGTGTTGTGCTATATTGATTAAACACAACCGTGCTGCAACAATGTTGTACTCTTAACGTTGACATTAGACGTGACATCTGAAATGATTTTATCTATGAATTACAGTAGAATACGATACCGTGTACGTAGAAGTACGCTGGGAGTGAAGTATCACATTCCTTACCGTCACTCTTATTTTATCATGTGCTGTGGTATAATGTTACCAAGCTAACGTTTAGTTTTACAACAGCTGTTGATAGTCTGGCATGCTGGAATGTCGTAATATTAGTGAGAACCCCAATCTACAAATCATGGACTATTAACTTAATAAGTTAATTACGTAATTAATAGCTGTGTGAATCTATAAATGGAACTGAAACAGCACTTTGAGTAGATAAATTGTCATTGGGTGTACAACAGATCATCTGTGATATCTTAATCCTCCTCCCTAAGGTACCACGCACATAGTGCTCGCTAAAACGGTGGATCTTACTGATTCTGCTAGCTATCACGAACTTATAGGAAAGATATGTGGATTTAAAGTTCTGGTGAGTGAGATGATAATAATTAACTCGTTTAGTAATTCAGTTGTTTAATAATTAAAAGTTAGCTGAAGTTGGGACTGAAACAGATTGACCGGAATGATAAACTGCTGGTTAGAGAAAATAAAATGAGGAAATTATTTCTTCAAGTTTAATGAAAAATTACCCTTAAAATTATCTTATTTTTAATGTGTAAATGTATAAACTAATTTGATGTAAGTTGATTATTAAATTATTTAATTAAATTATTTAATTAATTATTACTAATTACCTCTCAGTTAACAGCCCAAGTAGCTCTCATTCTCTACTGTTCTGGATCAAACATTGCTTACATGGTAACTGTTGGAGATATGCTGCAGGAAGTCTGTTTCTACGTTACAAATACTACAGGTTACTAATACGTTACTAATGCGTTACTAATACGTTACTAATACGTTACTAATACGTTACTAATACGTTACTAATACGTTACTAATACGTTACTAATACGTTACTAATACGTTACTAATACGTTCCTAATACGTTATTAATACGTTACTAATACGTTATTAATACGTTACTAATACGTTACTAATACGTTACTAATACGTTACTAATACGTTACTAATACGTTACTAATACGTTACTAATACGTTACTAATACGTTACTAATACGTTACTAATACGTTATTAATACGTTACTAATACGTTATTAATACGTTACTAATACGTTATTAATACGTTACTAATACGTTACTAATACGTTACTAATACGTTACTAATACGTTACTAATACGTTACTAATACGTTTCTAATACGTTTCTAATACGTTACTTATACGTTAATAATGCTACAGGTTCATATTTGCTTAATTAATTAAGTGGTCGATGAATTAGTTGATTGACTAGTCCATTGATTAATCAATTTGCTTGTTAATCTATCGATAATATTATGAGTCGTTCATAAAATTTATTTAATTTGTTCGGTTACGGAAACAAAACATAGTATTTACTACCCCGCTCCTATGCGGCAAAGATATTGTAGATACAACTAAATAATTTACACAATACGGTGCCTATGTCTGAGCGGCTCCCCTCAAAAAAACTTTCTCTCCTCAGGACAAAAGAAAATCGCGATTATTTAGGCCAAAAATCGCGGCGCCGCGACAAGCCAAATTAGGCGAAATCGTGGCGAAAATCGCAGCAAAAGATAATGTATTTGCACGAATAGAATTATGAATTAGGGGTAGACTGGTTTGTAGGGTAATGACTTGCTAGTTGGTTTGTGTGTACGACTTAGAGGTGGCTACTTAGAGGTTGCGGCATGTTGCCAGCGGGGGTAATGCAACGACCATGATTAATGTCAGTATTTGAGATTTTTCCGAAACTGACATTGTCATTAATGGTCATTAATGGTCATTAATGGTCATTAATGGTCATTAATGGTCATTAATGGTCATTAATGGTCATTAATGGTCATTAATGGTCATTAATGGTCATAAGATATCTCAAATTTTGAAATATCTGGCAGTAGCCTTGACTAAATCTAATTGAGGGGAGAAATCATGTTTCGTACGGAGATCAGCGGCTTAGGTCAATACAGATGAACGGATCAAAACAGCCAGTCAGAGCGAGCTGTCGAAGTTGGAGTACCCGCCAGTATTTTACTTCAACAAAACAGGAGACTTTCCCATGCAGGACATCTGTCATGAGTTGAAAAAACTGGTTAACTGTCTCCATTACCTCAGTACTAGATTCATCATAATGGCCGATTCTGATTCGATCGAAGACACGAAATTCACCCTAAACTGGGGGATGATTCTTAAACTCGCTACGGAAAGTGAAGAATTCAGAGACTCTGTATCCCTTACAACTCTGCAGCACTCTGATAGACAAAACCCGCAGTGTGCTGCAGAGCTAACGGCTACATGGGATGTTCTAAAACAAGCAGGATTTCTGAGCCTCTCGGCCTATCTTAAGGCCGGGTTTTTGCTCCTGGCAGCGTTTTATGACAAATCGCTGACTGTTTCAGAAAGAGCTGAAAATGCGTGGACTGTTTTCGCGTTCTTCACTCTGTGGGGAGAACACTCGAAGAAATTAAATACCAGCGAGAACTTCATAACTAGAGAAAGCTTCAAAGACTTAATAACCGCAGCTAACGGACTTGTCTTGTATTTTGTCGACTTGATTTGTAATCACCCCAAAGCACCAGTAGTACCGTGGTTTTTATCGTCTGATCAAAATGAACAACTCTTCGCTCGAATCAGGGTTGGACGGCACTCTGGTAGACGCACACAAATCGACTCTACAAGAGTCCCTGAAGCCATGGGTTGTTACAACCGACTATTAGAGGTGGAGAATACGCTTGATGTTGAATGTGGTACAAGTGTTCATAAAACCGCTTATACCCGGGGGAAGACACTCTTTCGTTCTGAGTGGAGCAAACATCCAGAGAAAAAGATTGCTGTTGATTTTGGAGGTTCGGTCAAGATGAGTAACCTTATAATCCAAAGCTTAAAAAGAGGATCCAAGATTGGAGAGGAACTCTTTGTTTCCTCTTCTAGTTATGGAAGTTCGTATCTTTCAGGTGATAATGGAAATGTTATTTCTGAAAGACGGCGGAGTCTCCAATTTCCACTCTCATATGGTAGTGAACAACAATCAGATGATGAATCAGACCATGAGAGTGAAGACAATTTTTCTGATTATGAGGACGAAGAGCTGGTTGATAGCTCCACTAAGGTCGTGACCAAATATTGTAACCAAGGCAAGACCAACTTTGGTGCGAAAAGCCGAAGGAAAAGATTTTTTGGTCTTGCCTTGGATACAAGTATTGGGTTGTATCGCCCAGTCTGTAAAGGTTTAGCAGAACCAGAGCTATGCAACGCTCAAGAGGTGCAAGTTGGTGGAACAATAACTGGTATACTCATAACAGGCAAGGATGAAAAAAGAAGGCGCACGGTTGTGCAGGGCAAAGTGCTTTCTATATCTGTTAAGACATCTAAAGCATCACAAAGAAAAGGAAATGCTCGGTCGGGAGAGAGAAGACCTGCGGTGGCGATCTGTATTGAGCACGATATGTCTTCCCAGTGTTGGGTGAAGACCCAGGATGGTTCAATAATAAGTTTAGATTGGGAGAATGTTGTTGTTATGGTATAATTGGGTTAGTTGTAATATGTAGTAATATCAGTGTTTGAGAAAGTTGTAAAATTAACTTTTCATCCCCTTCCAAGATGTAAAGTACCGTCTACTTATTGTTAGTTAACTTTAGGTAGGTTCTAAGTGGTCCTCGTGTCCGTCCTTCTTGTTCCAGGAAGTGCGGAAAAAAACATGACCATTAATGTCAGTATTTGAAATTTTAGCAAAACTGACATTGTCATTAATGGTCATTAATGGTCATTAATGGTCATTAATGGTCATTAATGGTCGTTGCATCACCCCCTTGCCAGCATTATGGCATCCTTTGTATAAGTTTTTCACTATCACGTTCATCATGTTCGTAGAAATATTTCTTTAACCTTCATGAGTTTTTGTCCATATTGTGTTCGCAAAGGTATGTTATAAAGTTATAATATAGATTAATTGTCTTAACAATTGATCAATGTTCTCATTGTTCCTTTGTTTCAAATCTCACTTAACAAATTTGTCGCGGAGAATGGGAAAAATCGCGATTCCGCACGTGCCGCGATTTCCTTTTGACCTTGCAGTCCTCATCGGAGCAAAGAGTTGAAAACAAACACGGGTCTCATAAAATCAAAAAATACCAAATAAGATAAAAGTGATATTATCCGATTATTAACAGATAAATAAAATATGGTAAACAAACAGGAACAACAATATTATTTGGAAACGAATCATAGTTGTACAGTCTACATTTATATGATACGTATGTATAATATGTCAATAAAATTAGAATATTTATTTTTTTATTTTCTTAATACTATTGCAACCTGGCCTTCGGCCAAGATCCAGTGTCGCAGTTAAAGAGAGCGTAAATGAAATACAATGAACCCGCTCAGTCATAACTTATAACCAATCAGCTTGCCGCCGCCGCCCCCCCCCCCCCCCCCCAGTCGTTATTTCTTATCTCTGAATATCTTGTTAAACAGGACCCCGTAACAATGTGGTTCCTCTGGTTCATCCATCGGGTCGAGATGCGCAACATTCCCTTTAAAAAACCTCCTGAAAAACACCAGAGGAGCGTAGCCTACCCTCCCTTGCTCTTGTGCTGAAAATACTTTATCTCCCGTTATGGGTTTCTCTTTAAGGTTGTGATAGCAGCTCACTGCAACATTGTTAATCAAGATTGTTCCTGACGTTGTTATAGGTCTACAAAACCCTTTCTGTGTAACCGGAGTTATCTCTTTAAGTTCTATGTAGCCCACGTTCCTTTTGTAGAGGATGTCTCCTGGTTGAAGTGTTTTTGTCATGACAAAGTTTGATGACGTCAGGACAATGTCAGGTTGGGGGATGATGATATCTGGGGGTTTTGGTGGAAGTAACGGGGCTTCCGAGGTTTGTGAGACGTTGTCTGTTGATAGTGCAGTTCCAGCTGCTGATACTACAGTTCCAGCTATTGATTGTGCAAGTGAAATTCTTGATTGTGCACGTGAACGTCTTGATTGTGCACGTGAACTTCTTGATGGTGCGACTGATGGTGCGACTGAACCAGCAATTGATATAGCATCATAGTCCGGTGGTTCATCATCTTCACTATCATAATCCGGCAGTGGCGTGGCACTCCCTGACTTAGGAGTACCCTCACCCAGCGTTGTGACGTCATCACCCATCACTGTGACGTCATCATCTTCAACCACCCCCGGTATGATGAGATCTGGCTGTGGAATGTGAATATCTGGACCTCGTACAACAATAAGCTGATCTCCTTTAACCATCAGTTTAGTTCCATCCTCCAACTCAAGGAGAGTGTACTTAATACTACCCCGGAAATCTGTCTCCGCCCAAAGTATCAGTTTGGAGAAAGCTGGTTCTTGGGTCTTCTCATCAAAGCCTAGCACGAGATCCCCTAAAATGAGTTCGTCAAGACGGAGTGTCATTACTTGTCCACTACGAATGACAATGATGAGAGAGTCTGGGGACATTTTGTAGATGAGGGACGAGGGTGGGAGGATATCAAGATGTTTCTTGTGGAAGATGATATCTAGATATATATATCAAGATGTTTCTATCTAGATATATATGCTGCCTTTCTGCTCTCTTGGTTATTGATCTTCAGTGTATGTCCCACATCATCTTTTTATATTATTGATCCTAAAACACAAACGATTTAGGGAAAATACCCATGATAAGGAAAGAAAGTGTTACTTTTGAAAACCAGGAGAAAATACATAGAACAGTATTTCCTCCAAAAAAAGAAATCACCAGAAAGTTAATTTTAATATACATATTATCAGATACTATGCAATGATGATATTACTATATTACATGATTACATGATACTATCGATAATTGAAAAACAAAAAGGATGAATCATATGACTAACTCCTCAAGCTGGATCGTAATCCCTTAACAGATTGAAATTGAGTCACTTAGGTAACGTTAAGATTATATTATGGGGCAGTGGAATTAGCGGGCTGTGATGAATGACTTGCCACCCCATGGCAACATAAAACATATTGGCTCTTTTACATATAATTGTAAAAACTTCCATGAGGATAGTTCTAGAATTTATATCTTGAATTGTCAGGAAACTCTGTAAATTATAATACATTTCAAAACCTTGTGAGTTATTTGATGTGTTAAACTAAACAATCGTATGATGCAAAGTTATATACTACGCTGTTAATTAATCAGACCTGAGAGTACCTAAAGGCTGCAAATTGGGCGAATTTTCCAGCTTAATCACGGTGTTTTTTCCTCCAAATTTGCGGCACAGCATTTAAGACAGGTTTGAGGTTTGGGATCGCACTATTTGCAAAATGTTACCGCACCTACATGAAGTTGCCTCTGTCATTATTTAATTAATTAATTGATTAATTATCCATTGAAATAACACCCCTCCTAGTTGAGACACACGAATACTACTGTGACAGGCACTTTCTAATTCCAGTAGCCAGTATCGTGGTTATACTTCCCGTTATCTGGTTCAAGAACATCAGCGCTTTCGGTTATGTGAGTTCCATTTAATTATAATAGATAAATAATTTGTAGTGTTTGTAGTCAATATTTTTTATGAGCTATTCTTAGTTCGAAGTCACTCAGGTTTTCCAGTTACCAAGTTACCACATGTTACCAAGTTATCACATGTTACCAAGTGACTAAGTTACTACAAGTTTTCAAGTTTCCACATATTACCAAGTTAATAAGTTACCACAGGTTTTCAAATTACCAAGTTACCAAATGTTACCAAGTGACTAAGTTACTAAAAGTTTTCAAGTTACCACATATTACCAAGTTAATAAATTACCACAGGTTTTCAAGTTACCACATGTTACCAAGTTACTAAGTTACCACATGTTTTCAAGTTACCACTTGTTACCATGTTACCACAGGTTTTCAAGTTACCACAGGTATTAAAGTTACCACATGCTACCAACTTCAAGCCCCAAACACAATAAAACCCCTCAACACAACAGCAAAACTAAAGTCCACTAGCTTAATAACACAGCAGAGCAGCAGATGTAAACATTGTGCAGATTAATGTGCGTTTCCATCACAGAGATTGTGTAGTCTCCTAATGTGGGACGTACTTAATGTGGTATAAAATGCGGTGATCTTATGGAATTTAGCTGGGCGGGCCAGAATAATTAGCGATGTTGAGATATGTGTGGCAAATTAAGTGTGCTCCAGGGTTAGAGTATATTAGAGTGTTATAGTTTTGGTGTTACGTTAGTTCTGGTCCACCCTGTACTTAATAGATCAATAGAAAAGTCAACAAAACCAGTTCAGTTATGTTTATACCAATAAATGTGGATTCTGGTGGGGAGGTGAGGCATATTTTTGTTGACATGTGACATTAATTCTGGGTTTTGATTGGTCAATAGTGAAAGCTGATTGGTTAATTGCTGTCACATGTCAAAAAATATGCCTCACCTTCTCAGTTCTTACCTGTATTCACATCTTTTATGTCATTATATTCATGATGAATTAATGATGATGAATAAATGATGAATTAATTAATTATCGTAAGTTTCTTGATGTTATTTTATGTAATTTTATGTAATTAATTATAAAATTAGTTATGTAATTAATTATCGCAGGTAAGTTTCTTCTCTGTAGCCAGTGTGTTCTACTTAGTGGCAGCAGTATTTGTTGAGTACCTAACTACGGAACAGAGGACACCTGTTAACCTGTGGTAACGTTGTTAATTTATCTTATTTGTGTGATATTTTGTACACGTGACAGAGATTAATCAATCAAAACTAAGAATCACTGTCACGTGTCAGAACAAATATTGTTCACCAGAATCCAGATCAATGTTATATTTAAAAGAGTTTTAAAGACTTTTAAAACATTTGCAATTTGTTTCTTTGTAGTAGCACAAAATAAATCTGTTCTATCAGGCTGAATTTCATTTGTTAATAAATAGTTATGAATTGCTAATTTATTATCTATTTATAAATAGTTATCTACATTCTACTTGAATTTGTTTTGTGGGATTATGTTTTGACAAATCTAAAAATATTGTATTGATAAATAATTAAAGTTGGTTAGTGGGGAAATATTTATTGTACACATATATTTTTTTACATAGTGCGATGATATTTTGTAGACATGTGTGATGATGTGATGTCATAAATTTTACTTTACCTTTACTTTACTTTGACTTGAATTAAGAATAGCCTTGAGACTGTTAAATGTCATTTTACTCCCTTTTTTCATAACAGCATAACCTAAAGTAATATATCTCTCAGGTATCCACCGGCCAATACAGACCCTCTCACCATACTAAGTGTGTTACCAAGCATGTCATTCGCATACCAATGTCACATGACATCTGTCCCACTGTACGCTGAACTGGCTGGAAGATCTATTAACAAATATATGGGTAAGCTTGCATGAAGTGCCTTACTTTTTGAAACAATTCTTTTTGTTTGCCGTGTATTTTAAACTTTTCTGGGTTGAGTTGTTTTTCATATTATTGCCACTGTCCGTCCACTATTTGCGGAATATCAGGAACGCGCGCGTACTCTTTTGAGATATATGTGGCGCGCACGCATGTTTCAAATTTATAGCGCGCCTACCTACCTGCCTAGGTCGATCCAGATGAAATCTGGAACGAGTTTCGTGTCAACGCTTCTCTCCATTTATCCCTATCACACATGAGTAAACGCAGCTGGTCAGGTTCCATTCCAGTGTCTTCAAGTAGGACGTCCGGGAAGGTCTTATGTGGTCGTCCTCGATAACGCTGGCCATAGGATGGTTGCCAGAAAAGGAGTTGTTGAGCAGGTTGGTCCTGTAGACGGTAGACATGTCCTGCAAAACGAAGTCTTCGTGTCTTTATAGTATCTGTCACCGATGGAATCTTTCCATAAAGAACGGAGTTAGGTGTATGTGATTTCCATGAGATACCAAAGACCCTTCGTAGCATTCTAGTATAAACACCGTCTAGTGCTCTGATATCAGCCTTTTTAAGAGTCCAGGTTTCTGCACCATACAGCAGAACAGGTTCTACTGCAGTTCGAAAAATCTTAGTCTTGATCTTCCTGGACATATTAGATTTCCAAAAAGCATCTAGACTCTGTAAAGCTTTCCATGCGAGGCCTTTCCTGACATTGATGTCTCTGCTTGTTGAGGCTATAAAGGATCCAAGGTACTTAAAGTCATGAACTTCTTCTAAAGGGTTGCCGTTAATAAAGACTCTATCGTCTGAGTTGACAGGTCGCGGGATGTTATAGGACATGTATTTGGTCTTTCCGATGTTAATAAGGAGACCATAACGGGCTGCTATGTCAGAAATGCTTTGGCAAAGGCGGCCATTTTCGCTGAAGCTGTCAGTAATTGTTGCTAGGTCATCGGCGAAGTCCAAATCAGCAATGTAGTTACTTCCAACTTTAAACCCATCACGTGGCCCTATTGCTAGTCTTAGTATGAAATCCAGGACGATGATAAAAATGAGAGGTGCAAGAACATCGCCCTGGAGAATTCCGAGGTTGGTAAGGAATTCTAAGGTTATACCTTCAGGGGTCATGATTTTAGCCTTGGTGTTGATGTAGAGTGACATAATGGCTTTTATGATTTTTTTAGGAAAGCCGTAGGAAGCCAGGATGTCGGGAAGATGCGATCTGAAGATGCAGTCAAAGGCCTTTGAGAAGTCAATAAAGGAGATGACACAAGGAAGCTGGAAGTTCACAACCTCTTCGATGATACGTCTAAGAGCCAGAATCTGTTCACGAGTCCCTCTTCCAGGCCGGAAACCATTCTGGTTGTATCGGAGGCGAGGTTCTATGTGGCTCCTGATTCGGTTTAGAAGCAGCCTGTTGTAGATTTTCGTGGCAACAGGGAGGATGGAGATGCCTCTGCTATTTTCAGGACAGAACTTTTTAGCTCCTTTGGGTATAGGAAGAATGGCAGTGACAAGGAGCTCTTCCGGGGCTTTACCAGTAGCTAGCATGTTGTTGAACAAAGATAGTAAAGTAGTGTCCAAGTCAACACACTTGTACAGCAGAGAAGGAATTCCGTCATGACCGTACGTGTCCTTTGTCTGCTTGAGAGCTGTAGATAGTTCATCTGCTGAGAACGGTGACGTTTCAATTGGGAGTTCTGGCTTTTGGACTTCAAAGCTACCCATTCTGATGTTGTCAGCAGGATTGTAAAGCAGTTTGCTGTAGTGGTCAGTCCACGCCTTTGCTCGATCTGCCTTGTTTCTATATCCAGGTAATGGAGACATAGATTTAGGCTTACGATTGGTAAGGTCATTTATAAGCTTCCACGCAATACCAGAGCTGTTTGATTTCGTCTGCCATGCTGCATACCCTGGGTGGTTTGCGCGCAATATATGCAAACGTACGTACGTAACTGCATATATTTAATATATGTACTATCATGTCATGTGCGTGGGGTGGCCAAGTGGGGTGCCATCAGAAGATATTTCCTTGGATCGTGTATGCGATTGTGTATGCATTTTGCGCGCCGCACGTACGTTACAATATTTATATTAGTAAAATTTACGAAAATAAGCTTTCAAAGGTCTCACTAAACTGCTCGTATTTATAGACACTATGATATGAACAACTAAATAGTAAATAGCACCTTAAACCCAATCTGGAACCACTTCTAAGGGCCGCACTCACACCAGAAAATCTATAATTCAAATCAAAAATCTTTACTCGGCCCTGCATGCGATTTGTGTTCCCGGGTAGATGGCATGTGTTTCGAAGGTTAAATAAGTAGCACCTGTCCCAAACCATCAGAAAACCCGAGTTATGGCCAAAAAAGTTATGATCCCTTCAAAATAAAAAACGACAATAAAGTTTAAATTGAGATAAGTTATAATCCTTACTGTAGCCAGTCTTGCCTCAACTCTCTACAGATCTGACTCATTGTTCCTTATACCATGAAACTTGTCAGGTTCTGTAGTTCGTTTCAAGAATCTCACTAAGGTATCTTCTAAACAATTATTGTTTTGCCCATTCTATCCCCAATTGGATATGAACCTTGATGGACATATATTACATGCCCCATTCCAACAAACCAGCGAACAAAAACTTAGAAATCTGGGAAGCCTAAGATCAAATTGAGTAGTCAAAATAGTATCTTTTTTATTATATAACAATAGTGATACCTTTTAGTGGAAATGTGCAGACACTACTGTTAAGTCGTCTTCAAAATGATCAAGAATAAGTCATAATTAGTCGAAATAAGCCGTCGCAACCCCAGTATATCTATGCAAACTTTCCTCAGCACACCGAAAGGTTTCTCCATCAATTTTCACATCAATTTTCGTTGTGTTCCATACATAGCAAACTGTTCTTTTTTCAAACTTCATTCACTTAACATATTCACACATTAACCCCCACCTGGTTACAATCTCACCCGCTAACCCTTCCTTCCTCAGTTATCGTAGGAGTGGCCATGTTTCTAGCAACCACCTCCTACCTTGTGGTCGGCTACACTGGATTTGCTATCTACGGTTCCTCGGTAGATCCTGATATCATCCTCAGTTTTCCGTCTGGCTCGATAATCATGACAGTGGGAAGAGTAGCCGTTACCCTTGCCATCTGCATGACTTACCCTATTGTGCTGTTTATTGGTGGGTGGGGGCCTTTTCCGCATTTTTCAGATACTTAGGATGAGTCTTGAATTAACATTCTTGGTGACAAATGGCGTAAAAATGTTTTCCTAAAATTCTTAGCGTCATTGTTTGCTCGTTTGATAACGTAATCCTGTAAATCTCATTTAGTATGCCTAACGTCTTTAGCTGTTCTAATTAACTTCTGATTAACTTCTAATTAATTCCTTTTCAACTTCTAATTAATCCCCCCAACCTTAGGTCGCACTGCTCTGGAAGGTTTCGTCTCAGAGGTAACCCGACACACATCTCGCCCGCTGCGCCCTAACAACGAGAAATTCCGCATCTCCTCCATCGCCATCTGGTTCGTTGTGACTGCGGCCGTCGCCACGTTCGCTACAGGTATCAAAGATGTTATAAGCGTGGTGGGATCCATCGCCGCCCTCTTCATGTTCATGTACCCAGGGTGCATTATCACTGTGTTGGCATGGAGACAGAGCAACTACGCCCACGTGTTTGTAGGTGCGTGCTTTGTAGCGCTTGGTGTTATAGTGTTCCTGTTGAATCTGGCTAGTACGGTGAACGACCACATGAAGGGACATCCTGATGGAATGTTGAGTTGGTGGACATTCCAGGTTCCTCTGTCTTAACTGCTGTAGCTGATCAATGGTTGGTGATTAATTAATTAATTATTACCGAGTCCTCTGATGTGTGTGCACTTAAGACGCCTTCTGTCAAGTTTTGGAATTACATGAAGTTGTACGATCAAACTTGGATTTAGGTTGGAAAAAACGGTTATTTGACAAAGAACACTGTCATATCATACATATGCTGACCCTCAAACAGCTGGGATAATATTTTGATGGAATAAGAAGTGAGTTTTACTCTCTTTGTTCAGAAGACAGGATTGGAAACTATTTTAATGGTTTCGCCAAACCAAGATCCCCAATAATTATTGTCACAGTATTATTTTGAATCACAGAATCGCAAAAGTTAGTCCACATGATTTCGTTAACATTATCCACATTTATCGTTAACATTATCATAAAAATCGTATGTTTCGTTCGTTTCGTTTCAATAAAACAAGTGAAGAACAACGTTTGCGTCATGAAGTATTCATTTTTGGCACGGTCTCAACTAACGACAATTTTGTAGTTCCAGTAAAAACAACTGATAATGAATCACGTCAGAAATAATTAATATTATCACTGCCCCAAATTCTTGAGAATTTAGTGTCAGGATTAGTTTCGTGTATTTTATCAATGTCCGAGGTTATTCCTGGTACGTTTGAGAATCTTATCGCTCAGTTACATGACCCTTCATCTCAGCAAAATTTCCGTCGAAATATCCAGAAAACGTGTTCCCCACTGGTTATTAGTCGATTGATGTGGCTAAAAAAGATTGAGAAATTTAATGTACGTGCCTTTTAAGTTGTTGTGGAATAAAGTCTATGTAAATTAAGTTGTAATTAATTGTTGATCAATCAAAAGTAAGTAGGTATTGATTACAAATGTTGTACTTATCTGGATGGAGGTAATCCTTACTTCTTGTGACAGTGATTCTGGGACCTGATTGGTTAATCGCTGTCACGTGACACAAAAAATAAGGTTCACCTCTACCAGTATGCAGATCTATTGGCATAGAATTATTAGATTTAGTTGTGAAGCCAAATTTAGATTTAAAGTGGAATTTGATGATTGAAACATGCCTTTCTTATATATTTCAGGAGTGATTTCAAGGTCACACATTTTTTTGAAATATCGTTCTTTGGCCGTCTCCATCATAAAATCTTTTTCCACTTCAAAGAAATGTTGACAGAAATGAAAAATCTTTCACCGTTTTGCGATAATTTGCTGAGTAAGTTGTGGCCGGAATTTCTGTGGAAGATATCTAGGTCAACGAAAATATCAATATTCGGATTTATACGTTGGGATATTATTCCGGTTTTATGTTCCAAACTGCACTGACGTATTATAATATTTACAGATTATATTTCAACATGTTGCTGGAGCTGACTATTTTTACCGCACGGTGAAATAATGAGATCCAGGTTGCAATTACAGTCATAGTAAGGACTAGGAGGGTACTTCAAAACAAAGCTACTCAAAATTTGTACTTCGGATTGTTCTAGAATTAAAAAACTAAATTCCGTACGAATTTTAAGGGAAAAAACCCTGTGAGTTCTACGATTTGTCAAGGGAAGTGGTTTCCTGACGGGAATGATTCGTCATTTTCGTCTAGGATTAAATAAACTAGGATTCTGCCGTGGAAATATGTTGTGTTCATCAAAAATTTTGGGGGTCAAATAGTTAAGTTGGGTATTGATTATTGATGTTTCGTCAAGGTTGTGGGACGGTCGAAAAGTAATGTTTAGGAACATTGATATGAAGATCATTGAAATAAAGCTTTACATTAAAAAGCGAACAGAAATAATGTTTTAATGAAATTAAATAGATAAATTACGTATTGAGATTTTACGTCATACTCATATTCTCAAATTATTTGTTTTGTAGTAGTGTTGAAAGTATTAAAAAAAGTGTTGAGACTTTCAACACTGTTATGTATCAAATAATTTGAAGATATGAGTATAATGACGTAGAAATGTCGATACGTGATTTATCTATCTACCTTCATTAGAATTTAGAACATTGTTATTGAGTCTATTCAGAAAAAATCGAAACTTTCCCGAAAAAATGATCAAATGAGACACGACTAATAATCAGAACAGAAATAAGTTAAGCGCTGTGAAATTTTGACCATTTTCAAATCAGCCGAATAAATTAATAACAGGTTGAAATGGCCAGATAAATGACATGGCATTTATTTTTAGCGTGTTCACTTATCAACTGAAGAAGATCAACAGTTTATTTACAGCTGACTTCTGTAGAAACCTCCTTACTTACTATAACTATTGTTGTCTGGACTCTGGTTGCAGTATTTATATTCATTTAACCTATACTTATACTTAGTTAATAGATGTATTGGTGTTCGTTAACTTATAATCTCATACGTTATGATTAGTTATATTACTCTGTAGATTTGCGGCGACTACTTACTACCACAGAAAAACACTGATTTACCACTGTTGCTGGGGAGATGCGATGGGAGTTTTGTTTTACACTATTAATACAAGTAGATTACCACTTGTGGTGTGCTGGGTTTGGCTGTACAATGTACAATGTACAATGTACAATGTACAAGTTAGAAGCGTTAGAAGCGTCTATTTAAATGGTTTCATTAGATTTCTAGATTGGTATTAATTATTCGGTTTTATGGTTGAATTTGACGTTTTGTAGTGCGAAAGTAAGGGAGTCTATCATTATTTTGTTTTGTGTTCCTGTATCAAACTATTAGTTGTAAAGTATTCTTAGATATTAATCTTGTGATAAATAAAATGGTTTAAGTTAAATTTCGTATCTTGATCCGATCTCTTATTTCGTATATTGATAGTACATACTATGATTTAATAATCTCTTATTTCTTATATCTGGTATTTTGTGATGAAACACGTCTTCTTTGTAATGTTGTATTTTAACCGTTTGTATCGTATTTTGTTGGGAATTGTGTCTTTATATTTAGATTTGTTGATTATTATTATTTTTATTTCATTTAACAGTAAACCTTTTTATGACAGCTATTAGATACAAAATCAGGTTAGTACTTAGATCTATAATTATAGTAGTCGTATACAGAGTTCACACCGTCCTGCCCCAGAACCTCGGGCTATTTATCAGACATCATGTTTTAAACGGATCAGGTTGCTGACGAAAGCTATCATATTATTATTATTGTGTACTTAATCTGACAAATATGCTGTGTTATGTAGAACTAAAATATCAGAATAGTGTTTTCAAGATAATGTACGTGTTGTTAAATTTATACTTTTATTGATGTAGAAAAGTTCTTCCTGTTTCGTAACCAACCCTCTTTTAAAACGTAATCAATGTTGATGTAGAATAGTTCTTCCTGTTTCGTAAACAAGCCTCTTAAACGTAATCAATGTACGAACTATTACAAGTACAACCTTGCAGACTTTGTAAGGTTTTCCAAATATCCTCCCAGTTTCCAAGCTCTCGCTCTCCCCGTGGGAGTATATGTCATTGCCGGAGCTGGGGCGTGCTCCCCTCATTAAATCATTATGTAATTGACACATCCTTGTCGTCATGCCGCAACATTTAGCGGAAACACTCGAACACGCGGGCGGTCGCGACCCCCTAACCAACATGCTGATCATTGTTTATCTTTAGGAATGAACCAGCCGGTATTGTGGAATGTGGAGAGCGTGCCGTGTAACCCTGACCCATGCTCGGATCTCACTTAGTCCCGGGTCACTCCCTCATAGTGCACAGCCTCCCTCTAATAGTGTCCCACATTGTTGCGACCTGTTGAGCTACTTGAACCTCCCCCACTGGGTTGGTGGGGACTTGGCCAGCAGTTCCGGTATTGCAAAGAGACTACAGACGATAATGAAACAGGTGGGAGTGAGAGAATGCTCTCCCTCTCGTGCTATTGTCAGGTATTTCTCTCAACCTCATGATAATTAACTGGAAGGAGGCCTAAAATTAGGTCAATGAATCAGAATGATATGTTGGAAATTAGGTCAGTGAATAAGGGTGATGTACCATTATTGTGGATTGTTATCAGTTCGCTGGGCGCTGAGCATGACTTCCCTGCAGGATTGCAGCCGACTGTGAACATTGACAATAGCACAAAGAGAAACGCATTGTTTTCAGATCAACTGTTCGCAGCACGTGCAGTGAGCCGCGCAGTCACGGGGCTGTCACGCGCGTCGTTGTCACGTGACTTCGCCCACGTGTCAGTCTAAATGAAGTGACAAGTGCCGGAACAAAGCCGGGTATTGTACAAGAAGTTGCTACTTGAGATTTGAGCGAGAGAGCAGTCCAAACTAGTCCATACTACACTTTGTTTCCCACAACTCGAGAGTCGAAGTGATATTGTCGGAGGGTTTGCCCAACGGAAATGATGAAGGTAAGCAAAAAAGCCTTTTTCTTTGTTTGTAAAATGTAATTATTCGTGCATATTGCAAGTGTGTTCATAATCATATAGCCCTTTTTCATGCTGCACTAATGTAAACTCTGGAGATATTTACAGTTTGAATCATGTCTTGATATTAACCTGTCCGCGAATCATTTTATAATTTTTTTGACCGCTATAATCAGTCAAAAGTTATTGAAAACATATAAATAATGCAACTTCGTCTAGCTCAAACCGCTAGACTCGGTCTTTTTATACTTACGTTAAATTTTCAATAATTCTTTCGGTGCCTTTATCTCTTTTACTACCCGCCGTAATGTCTATTGAAAATTTAAAAACAAAATTTACCATCAAATTGAAACATGGCCCTAAATAAAGAAAACTTGGTTGCGTAATAGTCATAAAGAGAAATTACAAGTGCCTTCAAATAGAATTTATCATAGACTTGTTTCCAGACTATTAAATCCTTTAAAAGAAAAGCCTTGTCGGTAAAATTAAAGAGCTTGCAGCTTGCTACTTTGTTATAATCATCATTTAATCAATTGATTAAGTTATTATATGTATAATCATTAGTTCATGCCAGGCTTTTGTTAAAACCTTTCTGTTGCACGATGACAATGATAATGTGCTTATTATGACAGACCCGCGAAGTCTCGAAGGGGAGTTTAGTCCTTTCACTATTGTCCCTCGTTTTGACCCTTCCCCTAATTTATGAAATAACAAATGACCGTTAATTAGAATTATAATTGGTGGACGAGGAGATTATAAGCAGATGCTTTTCATCGCCAGAGCATGTTAAATAGAGTTCCGTTATGTTTCGCACTGGCTCTCTCCTAAGTTTCTGGCTCTCTCCCAAATTTTTGGGATAGGGCACTTGTCATTCCTGCTCGTCCTTTTTTTCGTGCAGACTTCGAGACTCGTTTATACTAAACTTTAGTAGCCTTTCATTCGATATTATCCCTGACTAAGTTCGGCTACTCAGGAATTTGATGACAAGATTTTAGCATTTTTCTAGACTTCATGATGTGTAATTCTTCACGTTGACCAGGCAAAAATGCGTAATAAAGTTCTCAAGAAAATATATGTTTACGTAAACTATTCCTTCTTCATTGAAGTCATCATGTCAAAGGATTAGTGCTTTTAAAGCGCGATTCTTTTAAAAATAAGACAGACTTCTGTATCAGCATTGTAATGGTAAAGGGGCGAAATTTGGTGTCTAAATTTCTCTGTTGACCCCTGGCACTGGATTGAAGTGACAAATGCTCCTGTTTAACTTGGAATAGATTACAAATTTCCCGATCAAAGACAGCTACCAAATCTTTAGTATTAATTTCCTTTTGTATTCATCATCTCAGATAAACAGTTAATGAATTTATGAATGATTTAACAAAAGAGTTATCGGCCGGGAGTGGGCCGGGAGTTTATGTTCTGTCTCTCTTTTAGCCTTTGAAGTGCCTAGCGATTGGGTGGGATCAGGTCACGTGATAACCTTCGAAGTGGCGAGTGAGACCCGCTCGTTATTGTGTTATTGTGTCCCGTTAAATCCCTCGGGTATACGTTCACATGTCAGGGATAGAGACCAGGTTGGTGTCAGGGAGGGAGATGTTGTGAAGGTTAAAATATTTTTAAAAGTTCATGTGTTATTAAAGTTAAAATAGTTGAAACTATGAAAGTTGGAATAGTTGGAATAATTGGTTACTTTTATACTTATAGGATGGTAATTGTTTTAGTTCGCTTTTCATGGGAGCAATTCTATAAATCCTACAAACCTACATTTTGAATACCTTTGTCCATGCTGTCAACACTGCTTAAATAATTTAAAAAATTACTGAATACATCAATATTGTGAAGTTGCATTGAATCCGCGACTAAATATATAATATATATGTAATAACGGAAATAAGTATATATATTAAAGTAGTAAATATAGTACGTGATAATGTGGAGCTGCACAAAATAGCATATCTATTATTTATCATACATACCATATTGATAATCATAGCGTTCTATTCTTGTCAACTACATCGAACTACCGTGGCTTGTTATTACTCCATATAATGTGCATATAATGTGCATATAATGTGCATATAATGTGCATATAATGTGCATATAATGTGCATATAATGTGCATATAATGTGCATATAATGTGCATACTGTATATAATGTGCATATAATGTGCATATAATGTGCATATAATGTGCGTTAATTGCACCATAGCCCTCGTTTACTTATAACTTTGTTAGAAAGCGTGGGTCAGTTGTTAGCAACAAATAATTATTTTATGTATAGGTATTATTAGTATGCATCCTGAACTATGCATTATATATTATGGACTTTCTGTTGTTCTAGATATTGAACAGAGACTTGTCTAGACAAAATGTCTGAGAACAATCTGAAAATGCACGTGCTTAATATCCACTTCATCGCATCCAGCAGCTTCCTTCATTAAATCTTAATAGTTCCTCAGCAAAAGTTTCCCTTTCGCAATTACATTGAATGCCACCCGATCAGTTTTTGGTTTTGAGCACTAAATCGCACAGTTTATTATTCCAGGGGAGTGGTCCCTCGCTCTCAGAGGTCAGGACACTAATTCCAGGTGTTCTCACCACATACCTAGCATTCCTTACCACTGTCCACCGAGACATTTCCCACGACCAGCAGCTGAAATGTGTTGAGAGCCGCTGAAAAGGCACTTATTATAGTTTATACCCCTGTTTAATCACCAACTACTCGATAATATCTACATTATGTCATTACGTCAATAAATTCCACTGCTATCGTAAAATACCCCATGTCAGGTATCTTTCAACAGCATATTACTGGAGCAGATGTGAAACTGTTGAAATGAATAGCAAGATGTTATCGGCATATTTTACCTGATTGTTGAAATTAGCTGCTAAATGCAACAAAAGTGATGCCTCTACAGTTCCCGCGCTTATTGAATATTTGGAAATTACGTCAATAAGTTACGATATCTAACTCTGGACTAGTTGTCAGTTTAACGATATATATGAGCTACAAAATGATATTACAGTTAGATAGTCCATTTGATCATAATATACACCTAATTGATGGAGATTAGAGAATTATGTAGTTTTACTAGAAATATCTGAGATATCAAGAAGAGGCTGTTTGACTTTAAATCACTGTAAATCACTGTAAATCACTGTAAATCACTGTAAATCACTGTAAAGCATCAGATTGTAAACCATCCACAGCGAAAACTGCACTTCCTAAGCTAATTGTACTATATTTCGGTCTAATCTTCTCTTTGAGTAAAAAAGCTCTTATTACAAAAAGTAACTTAATATATAGCACCACTTTCGAATCAACCACCAAATCCAGCAGATTTGTAAGAAATCTGACATAAACCCGGCTCCCCAAGTAAACAGTGTTCAAATAGATAATAGGTTTAGCTGCAGTACATGCTGTATGTGCCCCAGGTATACGAAACTTAAATCATATAGGAAACTAAGGCTGAGTAGTGAGTACCGTTGACAGCACCAGCAACTTTTACCTGGTAGTTTAAAAGTTACAACAATTGGATGTGCTGCAGACTGCTCCAGGAGCAGGGTAGAAGTGCAGGAACTGTGCCGCACTGAGTAGAAGTGCAGGAACTGTGCTGCACTTCTACGCTCTGGATCCAGGAAAATTGTACTGGCATTTGTTCAATTATTTAGAAACATTAATTATGGTACGTTACTAGTATAATTTGAAGTGTTGTAGAGCTGCAGGTTAAAGGTGCACTACTATGGGACTGAGCGATGTTCAGGAAGATATTCCGTTAAACGTTTGCGGAGGGAATCTAATACTTGCTTACTAAGTTTTACTGAGTTATAACTTTTAGTTTACTAACGTAATTTCTAATAAAAGTAAATGAAACTTTTTAAGTGAATTTGATTTTCAGATGATAAATCGTTTCATTTTCATTGGACTTATACTACTAGTACATACTTCTTGTCTAATGTCCATATTCATTCCGATGACTCAAAACATAATATATCCTCTATAATATATCCTATACTTAATTTTGAGTTTTAAAGTCATTGACATTAAACGATCGCGGCAGAGACTTTATGACATTCTAATTGTTTTAAATCGAATGTAATCAATCTGACAAAGTTTCAATTTCTATCAATACGGCAAATGCCTTGAAGTTGCAGAGTCCAATTATATTATAATCATATTTATAATTGAAATATAAAGAATAAAATGCATATTTACACAAAATCCCGGCCAATCTTCCATCGGACACATGAGTTAGGGTAAAACATTACGTTACTATCATACCCAATCATTTAAGACAGTCGCAATATCCCCAAAGTGTGACAATTCCCCGATAGAATGTTCAGCTCTTTTATTAGACCGATAATCAAGCCCTGATCAAAAGAGATTTTACGTTTACCCTCCATTTTAGCACGTCTCAAAAGGTTTCAAACTCCTTTATGTTACCTCTTCAAGGTTCTTTTAGACGTTCTAAACATTATAACTGTCTTTGAGCGTTGACTCAAAGGGTTGTTATGATAGTTAGTAACGACATTTTATTTAGGCCTTTTGTCAGACTTGGGGATTGGAGAAGGATACGGTTAACGGCCGGGAGTTTTTAAGTCCGACTTGTGAAAAGAATCGCAAATATTTGTAAAAATATGTTGTCATGATTTTACACTCCACCAAAAACCTTAATATCAGTTAAAGAGCAATATTTTGTAAATAATCCTCTAAATTAACCTACAGTTCATAATTTATTTACCGGCCGTAATTATTCTGCGGTCTTAATCCCTAATAGTAATTCACTTTATGACACATAAGTGTGTTTACCGTGTCCTATAAATCAGGAGCCCCTTCCATTCTTCCAATTGACATTTTTTATAAAAACATGTTTATAAAAAAGTCAGGATTTTTATTCCCACTTCTATTCAGTTATGAAGAATAAATTCTGGATTACTTTGGTATTATACAGCGTCCTAACTGCTAAAACCTTAAGTTTACCGAC